CGACCACCGAGCCCCCCGGGCCGCGCCCCGCCCGCCGCCGGCACCGAGCAGCCCGCACGGCGAACGCCAGGTCGGCCCAGAGGTGCGGCCGCAGCCGCCGCTGCAGCGCCAGGGCGGCCCCCGCGACCACCAGAGACCCCAGGGCCACCAGCGCCACCGGAGACCCCCGGCACAGACCCCCCAGCAGCGACCCCAGCGATCCCAGCGCCGCCGCCATCGCCCCCCCGCCCGCCCTCCCTCCCTCCTTCCCTCCCTCCTTCCTCCTCCCTCCTCCTCCTCCCTCCTCCCTCCCTCCCTCCTTCCCTCCTTCCTTCCCTCCCTCCTCCCTCCTTCCCTCCCTCCCTCCCTCCTTCCTTCCCTCCTTCCCTCCTTCCTTCCTTCCCTCCTTCCCTCTTTCCTTCCTTCCTCCTCCTCCTTCCCTCCCTCCTTCCCTCCTTCCCTCCTTCCCTCCCTCCCTCCTGGACGGGGCGGACACGCCCACTTAGGCCACGCCCACATTTTTTGGGTCACGCCCATTCACTTTTTGGTGGTCGCGCCCTCTTTTATTACGCCCACCGCGGTCACGAGCCCGCGGGACCCCCTCCCCGCGACATCCCCCGACATCCCCACGTTCCCCGTGTCCACCCTCCCCTGACATCCCCCACGTCCCCGTGCCCACCCTGTCCCCCCGACATCCCCCACGTCCCCCGTGCCCCTGCACCCCCACGCACCCTGTTGTGTCCCCACGGACCCCCTTGTCCCTTCCACGCCCCCCAAGCCCTATCCCCTTATCCCCCTTCACGGGCTCCCATGGCCAACTCCCCCGTGTCCCTCCTCCCCCGTGTCCCCTCCCTGTGTCCCCCTTCGCGGCCTCCCTCGTGCTCCCTCCGTGTCCCTCCCCGTGTCCCCCCTCGTGTCCCCTCCCGTGTCCCCTCCCCGTGTCCCTCCCCGTGTCCCCTCCTGTGTCCCTCCCTGTGTCCCCTCCTCGTGTCCCCTCCCCGTGTCCCCTCCCCGTGTGCCACCCCTGTGTCCCCTTCGCGGCCTCCCCTCGTGCTCCCTCCTGTCCGCTCCCCTCGTGTCCCCTCCCCCGTGTCCCCTCCCCGTGTCCCCCCGTGTCCCCCGTGTCCCCCATGTCCCTCCTCCCCTGTGTCCCTCCCCGTGTCCCTCCATGGCCTCCCTCGTGCTCCTCCCTGTCCCCTCCCCCGTGTCCCTCCCCGTATCCCTCCCCGTGTCCCCCTCCGTGTCCCCCCCGTGTCCCCCTCGTGCTCCCTCCCTGTCCCCTCCTCGTGTCCTCCCCGTCTCACCCCCCGTGTCCCCCCTCGTGTCCCTCCCTGTCCCCTCCCCGTGTCCCCCCTCGTGTCCCACCCCCGTGTCACCCCCCGTGTCCCCCTCCGTGTCCCCTCGTGTCCCCTGCCGTGTCCCCTCCACTGGCCTCCTCGTGTCCCTCCCGTGTCCCCTCCCGTGTCCCTCCCGTGTCCCCCTGTGTCCCCCTCATGTCCCTCCGTGTCCCCACCGTGTCCCTCCTGTGTCCCCTCCCCGTGTCCCCCTTCGCGGCCTCCCTCGTGTCCCCTCCCCATGTCCTCCTCGTGTCCCCTCCCCATGTCCTCCCCGTGTCCCTCCCTGTGTCCCCTCCCCGTGTCCCCTCCATGTCCCACCCCGTGTCCCCCTCCGTGTCCTCCCGTGTCACCCCCTGTGTCCCCCGTGTCCCTCCCCGTGTCCCCTTCGTGGCTCCCCTCGTGCTCCCTCCCTGTCCCCTCCCCCGTGTCCCTCCCCGTGTCCCCTCCCCGTGTCCCCCCTCCGTGTCCTCCTCCTGTGTCACCCACCCGTGTCCCCTCCTCTCCCCGTGTCCCCTCCCGTGTCCCCCGTGTCCCCTCCCTGTGTCCCCCTTCGCGGCCTCCCCTCGTGCTCCCTCCCTGTCCCCTCCCCCGTGTCCCCTCCCCGTGTCACCCCCGTGTCCCCTCCCCGTGTCCCCTCCATGTCCCACCCCCGTGTCCCTCCCCGTGTCCCCCTCGTGTCCCCTCCCATGTCCCACCCCCGTGTCCCCCTCATGTCCCTCCCCGTGTCCCCCTCGTGTCCCACCCCCTGTGTCCCTCCTCGTGTCCCCTCCCTCGTGTCACCCCCCGTGTCCCCTCCCCGTGTCCCCTCCCCGTGTCCCCCTCATGTCCTCCTCCCCTCGTGTCCCCCTCGTGTTTCCCCTCGTGTCACCCCCGTGTCCTCCCCGTGTCCCCCTCCCGGCCTCCTCGTGCTCCTCCGTGTCCCCTCCTCCCCGTGTCCCCTCCCGTGTCCCCCGTGTCCCACTCCGTGTCCCCTCCCTGTGTCCCCTCCCGTGTCCCCCGTGTCCCCCCATGTCCCTCCTCCCCCGTGTCCCTCCCCGTGTCCCCCCCGTGTCCTCCCTCGTGTCCCCCGTGTCCCCCCGTCCCTCCCTGTCCCAGATTCCCGGCCCGTTTGTTTTTGGGATGGGGGTGGATTTGGCAGCTCGGCATTCCCGGGGATCCACGTGCCCACGCGTGACCCCGCCCCAATTTCCCCTCCTCCCCTCCTCCCCCTCCCCACGACACAAAATCGGGGCCGTTTGGTACAAAAAACAGGGCGGGTTTTTATTGCTGGTTTTTGTTTGTTTTTTTCTTTTAAAAACACGAAAAACGCTGACTCAGCCCCGCGGGGGAGGAGGGGCGGGGTGTCACCCCTCCTCACTCGGTGTGACCAGGACCGACCCTCCCATCCAAACCCACCCCTCCCAAGGGGTCTCCCTTGTCGCCTCCCAAGGTGGGGGTGGGAGGGGCTCTGGGGGTGGTCGATGTGTCCCCTCCCCTCCCTCCCCCGTGTCCCCCTCCCCAAATCATCCCGGAGCATCGACAGTTCCACCTTTATTTACATTTCTATACCAAAATTTGGGGAGGGGGTTGAGGGGTTGGGTGTGTCTCCCCCTCATTTCACGTGTCCCTCAGGGAGGGACCCCATAGAGGATGGGGGACACTCGAGACCCTCCCCACCTTGTGAAGAAGGGGGGTCCTGGCCCTGTTCCCATGGGATGTGCTGGCACCGGTTTGGGGGTCCCCACCCTCACTGGGGGGGTCCCATCAAGATGGGGGGGTCCCAACCCTCACTATGGGGGTCCCATCAAGATGGGGAGAGGTCCCAACCCTCACTATGGGGGTCCCATCAAGATGGGGAGCCCATTGAGGTTGGGAGGTCCCATTGAGGTTGGGGATCCCATCAAGATGGGGAGGGTCCCAACCCTCACTGTGGGGACTCCCATCAAGATGGGGGTCCCAACCTCACTTTGGGGTCCGATCAGATGGGGTCTCAACCCTCACTGTAGGGGTCCCATCAAGATGGGGGTCCTATTGAGGCTGGGGTCCCAGCCCTCACTGTGGGGAGTCTCATCGAGTGGGGATCCCATTTAGATGGGAGGGTCCCATGAGGCTGGGGGTCCCAAACCTCACTGTGGGGTCCACTGAGATGGGGGTCCTATCGAGATGGAGTTCCCAACCCTAACTGTGGGGGTCCTATTGAGATGGGGTCCCATCGACCCAACCCTCACTGTGAGGTCCCCACGATGGGATTCCATTGGGGGAGGTCCCAACCCTCACTATGAGGGGTCCCATCAAGATGGGGGTCCCAACCTCACTATGGGGGTCCCATCAAGATGGGGAGCCCATTGAGGTTGGGGAGGGGTCCCATTGAGGTTGGGGGGATCCCATCAAGATGGGGGAGGGTCCCAACCCTCACTGTGGGGGGACTCCCATCAAGATGGGGGGGGTCCCAGCCCTCACTTTGGGGGTCCCATCAAGATGGGGGTCTCAACCCTCACTATGGGGGTCCCATCCAAGATGGGAGGCCCATTGAGGCTGGGGGGTCCCAGCCTCACTGTGGGGGGTCTCATCGAGGTGGGGGATCCCATTTAGATGGGGAGGGTCCCATTGAGGTTGGGGGGGGTCCCAAACCCTCACTGTGAGGGGTCCCACTGAGATGGGGGGGTCCTATCGAGATGGGGGTTCCCAACCCTAACTGTGGGGGGGTCCCATTGAGATGGGGGGGTCCCATCGACCCAACCCTCACTGTGAGGGGTCCCATCGAGATGGGGGATTCCATTGGGGGGTCCCATGGAGATGGGGGTCTCATTAAGGTGGGAGGGTCCCAACCCTCACTGTGAGGGGTCCCATCGAGATGGGGGATTCCATTGGGGGTCCCATGGAGATGGGGAGTCCCATTAAGGTGGGGGGGGTCCCATTGACCCAATCCTCACTGTGAGGGGGTGCCATGGGGGTGGGGGGTCCCACCCCTCACTGTGAGGGGGGGTCCCACAGAGATGGGGGTGTCCCAGGGGAGGAAAGGGGGGGTGCTCCCACCCCTCACTGTGAGGGGGTCCCATTGAGATGGGGGTGTCCCAGGGGAGTTAAGGGGGGGGTGCTCCCACCCCTCACTGTGAGGGGGTCCCATTGAGATGGGGGTGTCCCAGGGGAGGCAAAGGGGTGCTCCCACCCCTCACTGTGAGGGGTCCCATTGAGATGGGGGTGTCCCACCCCTCACTCTGAAGGGGGGGTCCCACAGAGATGAGGGTGGAGGCAAAGGGGGGGTGCTCCCAACCCTCACTGAGGGGGGGTCCCAAAGAGATGGGGGTGGAGGCAAAGGGGGGGTGCTCCCTCCCCTCACTGTGAGGGGGGGGTCCCACAGAGATGGGGGTGTCCCAGGTGAGGCAAGGGGGTGGGGTCCCACCCTCACTGAGGGGGTCCCACAGAGATGGGGGTGTCCCAGGGGAGTTAAGGGGGGGTTGCTCCCACCCCTCACTGTGGGGGGTCCCATTGAGATGGGGGTCCCACCCCTCACTGTGAGGGGGTCCCATGGGGTTGGGGGGTCCCACCCCTCACTGAGGGGGGGTCCCACAGAGATGGGGGTGTCCCAGGGAGGCAAGGGGTGGGAGTCCCACCCTCACTGAGGGGGTCCCACAGAGATGGGGGTGTCCCAGGGAGTTAAGGGGTGGGAGTCCCACCCCTCACTGAGGGGGTCCCACGGAGATGGGGGTGGAGGCAAAGGGGGAGTCCTCCCTCCCCTCACTGAGGGGGGGTCCCACAGAGATGGGGGTGGAGGGAAAGGGGGGTTGCTCCCTCCCCTCACTGAGGGGGGTCCCACAGAGATGGGGGTGTCCCAGGGGAGTTAAGGGGGGGTTGCTCCCTCCCCTCACTGAGGGGGGTCCCACAGAGATGGGGGTGTCCCAGGGGAGTTAAGGGGGTGGGGATCCCACCCTCACTGAGGGGGGGTCCCACAGAGATGGGGGTGGAGGCAAAGGGGGAGTCCTCCCTCCCCTCACTGTGAGGGGGGGTCCCACGGGGATGGGGGTGTCCCAGGGGAGTTAAGTGGGGGTTGCTCCCTCCCCTCACTGTGAGGGGGTCCACAGAGATGGGGGGTCCCAGTGGAGGCAAAGGGGGGGTTGCTCCCCCTCAGTCGCTGTCAGAGCCCACGGCGGACGAGCCTTTCCTTTTCCTCTTGGCGGGTTTGGGTTTGGTGTCCTCTTCCTCCTGCGTGGGAGTGGGGGATCATTTGTGGGGTGTGGGGGTGAGGAGGGGGTCCGGGGGGTCAGGGGGTGGGTTGGGGTCTCACTGAGGCGCTGCTGGATGCAGACTCCTCCTCGGTGTTGGGGGCTGCGCGGCGCTCTTGCGGCTCCGCTGGCTCGCCAGAGCCGGAGCCTTCCGGCGGCTCTTGGGGCTTTGGATGAGGAGTCCTCGTATTCCTCAGCCAGGAAAACAGGTCAGAAAACCTGGAAAAAGGGAAAAGGGGAAATCAGGGGTTTGGGGGAGGGGAGGAGGAGGGAGGGGAGGGAAGGAAGGGAAGGAAGGGAAGGGAAGGAAGGGAAGGGAAGGGAAGGGAAGGGAAGGGAAGGGAAGGGAAGGGAAGGTTTGGGAAGGGAAGGAAGGAAGGGAAGGGAAGGGAAGGGAAGGAAGGGAAGGGAAGGGAAGGGAAGGTTTGGGAAGGGAAGGTTTGGGAAGGGAAGGGAAGGTTTGGGAAGGAAGGGAAGGGAAGGGAAGGGAAGGGAAGGGAAGGGAAGGTTTGGGAAGGGAAGGTTTGGGAAGGGAAGGGAAGGTTTGGGAAGGGAAAGGAAGGGAAAGGAAGGGAAGGGAAGGTTTGGGAAGGGAAGGGAAGGGAAGGGAAGGGAAGGTTTGGGAAGGGAAGGGAAGGGAAGGGAAGGTTTGGGAAGGGAAGGGAAGGGAAGGAAGGGAAGGAAGGGAAGGGAAGGGAAGGGAAGGGAAGGGAAGGGAAGGGAAGATTTGGGAAGGGAAGGGCTCACTTCATCTTGTGGGCCTCGTCACAGCTGGCCTGGACGTGCTGCAGCGCCTGCAGGATCGGGGTCTGGCTGAAAACTGGGGGTGAAAAGCAGGAATGGGGGGTCATGGAATGTCATCCCACACGGATCCCACCCCACCTGGAGGCTCTGGAGATGGGGCAGAGCCTCCCAGTGCACTGTGGGGTCACTGGGATGGGAGAACCCCCCCTGTTGCTCCCATTATCCCAGGGTATTCCCACTGGGATGGTCCCTGCAGGCAGAGGAACCCCTCCCCATCACCCCCATCCCACCCCATCCCACATTCCCGGCATTCCTGGCATTCCCAACATTCCCAGAGCCCCTGGGGGCACCCACAGTTGTGTTTGGTGTTGGTGAGGTTGAGCCTGAGGTTATCCAGGTGCTCCAGGATCTGCTCCAGGGTCAGCTGGGCCAGTTTGCTGCTGGAGCTGCGCAGGCTGGGGGGGAAAAACACAGGGAATTTGGGATTTGGGATGGGAAAAAACCCCCCCCAAATCCAGGGGGAGGTTACCCAGGACAGGGCAGGACCCCTCCCGAAAAAACAAGGGGTGGGAATTGGGAATTCCATGGGAATGGGGTACAGCTCCTTTCCAGGATGAGTGAAGAACACACCAATCCCATTCCATAGGTTGGGAATTCTCTGGGAAGGGGGCACAGCTCTTTCCAGGACAGGTGAGGAACCCCAATCCCATTCCTTAGGTTGGGAATTCCATGGGAATGGGGCCTAGCTGTTTCCCAGGACAGATAAAGAACCCCAATCCCACTCCACAGTTGGGAATTCCATGGGAATGGGGCACAGCTCTTTCCAGGACAGCTCAGAAACCCCAATCCCATTCCTTAGGTTGGGAATTCCATGGGAATGGGGCCCAGCTCTTTTCCAGGACAGATAAAGAACCCCAATCCCATTCCTTAGGGGTGGAATTTCATGGCACAGCTCTTTTCCAGGACAGCTAAGAAACCCCAATCCCATTCCTTAGGCTGGGAATTCTCTGGGAATGGGGCACAGCTCATTCCCAGGACAGGGTGAGGAACACCCATCCCATTCCATAGGTTGGGAATTCCATGGGAATGGGGCCCAGTTGTTTCCTAGGACTGGTAAGAAATCCCAATCCCATTCCTTAGGTTGGAAATTCCAATGGGAATGGGGCACAGTTCTTTCCAGGACAGCTAAAGAACCCCAATCCCATTCCTTAGGGGTGGAATTCCATGGCACAGCTCATTCCCAGGATGAGGTGAGGAACCCCAATAATCCCATTCCATAGGTTGGGAATTCCACAGGAAGGGGGCACAGCTCTTTCCAGGATAGACAAAGAACCCCAATCCCATTCCTTAGGTTGGGAATTCTCTGGGAATGGGGCCCAGCTCCTTTCCAGGATGAGTGAAGAACACACCAATCCCATTCCTTGGGAATTCCATGGGAATGGGGCCCAGCTCTTTCCAGGACAGATAAAGAACCCCAATCCCATTCCTTAGGTTGGGAATTCCATGGGAATGGGGCCCAGCTCTTTCCTAGGACAGATAAAGAACCCCAATCCCATTCCATAGGTTGGGAATTCTCTGGGAAGGGGGCACAGCTCTTTCCAAGATGGGTAAGAAACCCCAATAATCCCATTCCTTAGGGGTGGAATTCCATGGCACAGCTCTTTTCCAGGATGGGGGATGGGGTGAGGAACCCCAATCCCATTCCTTAGGTTGGGAATTCCATGGGAATGGGGCACAGCTCTTTTCCAGGACAGCTAAGAAACCCCAACCCCATTCCTTAGGCTGGGAATTCTCTGGGAAGAGGGCACAGCTCTTTTCCAGGACAGATAAGGAAATCCAATCCCATTCCTTAGGCTGGGAATTCTCTGGGAATGAGGCACAGCTCTTTCCCAGGACAGATAAAGAACTCCAATCCCATTCCTTAGGGGTGGAATTCCATGGGAAGGGGGTACAGCTCTTTCCAGGACAGCTAAAAAACACCAATCCCATTCCTTAGGTTGGGAATTCCACAGGAAGGGGGCACAGCTCATTCCCAGGACAGGGTGAGGAACACCAGTCCCATTCCATAGGTTGGGAATTCTCTGGGAATGGGGCCCAGCTCTTTCCAGGACAGATAAAGAACCCCAATCCCATTCCTTAGGTTGGGAATTCTCTGGGAATGGGGCCCAGCTCTTTCCAGGATGAGTGAAGAACACACCAATCCCATTCCTTGGGAATTCCATGGCACAGCTCATTCCCAGGACAGATAAAGAACTCCAATCCCATTCCATAGGTTGGGAATTCCATGGGAATGGGGCCCAGTTGTTTCCTAGGACTGGTAAGAAATCCCAATCCCATTCCTTAGGTTGGGAATTCCATGGGAATGGGGTACAGCTCCTTTCCAGGATGAGTGAAGAACACACCAATCCCATTCCTTAGGTTGGGAATTCCATGGGAATGGGGCCCAGCTGTTTCCCAGGACAGATAAAGAACCCCAATCCCACTCCACAGTTGGGAATTCCATGGGAATGGGGCACAGTTCTTTCCAGGACAGCTAAGAAACACCAATCCCACTCCATAGATTGGGAATTCTCTGGGAAGAGGGCACAGCTCTTTCCAGGACAGCTCAGAAACCCCAATCCCATTCCATAGGTTGGGAATTCTCTGGGAATCAGGCACAGCTCTTTCCAGGACAGCTAAGAAACCCCAATTCAATTCCTTAGGTTGGGAATTCTCTGGGAATGGGGCCCAGCTCTTTCCAGGATGAGTGAAGAACACACCAATCCCATTCCTTGGGAATTCCATGGGCAGGGGCACAGCTCATTCCCAGGACAGATAAAGAACTCCAATCCCATTCCTTAGGTTGGGAATTCTCTGGGAAGGGGGCACAGCTTTTTCCCAGGACAGATAAGAAACACCAATCCCATTCCTTAGGTTGGAATTCCATGGAATGGGGCACAGCTTTTCCAGGACAGATGAGGAACCCCAATCCCATTCCTTAGGTTGGGAATTCCTGGGAAGGGGCACAGCTCTTTCCAGGACAGGCTGAGGAACACCAGTCCCATTCCATAGGTTGGGAATTCCATGGGAATGGGGGCCCAGCTCTTTCCAGGACAGATAAAGAACCCCAATCCCATTCCTTAGGTTGGGAATTCTCTGGGAATGGGGCCCAGCTCTTTCCAGGATGAGTGAAGAACACACCAATCCCATTCCTTGGGAATTCCATGGCACAGCTCATTCCCAGGACAGGTAAGAAACACCCATCCCATTCCATAGGTTGGGAATTCCATGGGAATGGGGCCCAGTTGTTTCCTAGGACTGGTAAGAAATCCCAATCCCATTCCTTAGGTTGGGAATTCCATGGGAATGGGGTACAGCTCCTTTCCAGGATGAGTGAAGAACACACCAATCCCATTCCTTAGGTTGGGAATTCCATGGGAATGGGGCCCAGCTGTTTCCCAGGACAGATAAAGAACCCCAATCCCACTCCACAGTTGGGAATTCCATGGGAATGGGGCACAGTTCTTTCCAGGACAGCTAAGAAACACCAATCCCACTCCATAGGTTGGGAATTCTCTGGGAAGAGGGCACAGCTCTTTCCAGGATGGGTAAGAAACCCCAATCCCATTCCATAGGTTGGGAATTCTCTGGGAATCAGGCACAGCTCTTTCCAGGACAGCTAAGAAACCCCAATTCAATTCCTTAGGTTGGGAATTCTCTGGGAATGGGGCCCAGCTCTTTCCAGGATGAGTGAAGAACACACCAATCCCATTCCTTGGGAATTCCATGGCACAGCTCATTCCCAGGACAGATAAAGAACCCCAATCCCATTCCTTAGGCTGGGAATTCTCTGGGAAGGGGGCACAGCTCTTTCCCAGGACAGATAAATAACCCCAATCCCATTCCTTAGGTTGGGAATTCCATGGGAATGGGGCACAACTGTTTCCTAGGACATGGTGAGGAACCCCAATCCCATTCCTTAGGTTGGGAATTCCATGGGAATGGGGCCCAGTTGTTTCCTAGGACTGGTAAGAAATCCCAATCCCATTCCTTAGGTTGGGAATTCCATGGGAATGGGGCACAGCTCTTTCCCAGGATGAGTGAAGAACAAACCAATCCCATTCCATAGGTTGGGAATTCCATGGGAAGGGGGCCCAGCTCCTTTCCAGAACAGATAAAGAACCCCAATAATCCCATTCCTTAGGTTGGGAATTCTCTGGCAATGGGGCCCAGCTCTTTCCCAGAACAGATAAAGAACCCCAATCCCATCCCTTAGGTTGGGAATTCCACTGGAAGTGGGGGGGGGACACAATTTACCAACCAGCACCGGCACCAACCACCCTCCCCGCCCCTTTCTGCCCCTTTCCCGCATTCCCAAGGCCGGGAATGCCTCCCCACCTCTGCCTCTTCCTGGGCAGGCTGTTGTTCTTGATGAGCAGGGCCTTGATGTGCTCGCCCAGGAGGTCGTCGTGGCGCAGCCCCCAGTGCCGCAGGATGCTGGTGGTGAACTGGTCCTCGGGGTGGCAGGGCCGGCTCAGCACCATCTTCACCATCTCCTCGCTGGGCCTGGGGATTCCAGGGGATGGGAGGCATCAAAATCAACCCCCCTACTCATCCTCACCATCTCCCCCCACCCATCTTCACCATCTCTCCGGGCCTGACGGGATGGAGGCACAAATGCCAATCCCACCCATTTCATCATTTCCTCGCTGGGCCTGGGGGGTTTGGGGGATGGGAGGCATCAAAATCAACCCCCACCATCTCCCCCCACCCATTTCAGCATCTCCCCACCCATTTCACCGTCTCTCGGGCCTGGGGATTTGGGGATGGGGAGGCAACAAAATGACCCCATCTCACCCATTTCACCATCTCCCCACCCATCTTCACCATCTCCCCCCACCCATTTCACCGTCTCCTCGCTGGGCCTGGGAATAGGCATGGGGAGGCATCAAAACATCCCCCACCATCTCCCCCCACCCATTTCACCATCTCCTCGCTGGGCCTGGGGGATTTTGGGGGATGGGGAGGCAACAAATACCAATCCCCCACCCATCCTCACCATCTCCCCCCACCCATTTCAGCATCTCCTCGCTGGGCCTGGGGGATTTTGGGGATGGGAGGCACCAAAATATCCCCCCACCCATCTTCATCATCTCCCCACCCATTTCACCATCTCCCCGCTGGGCCTGGGGGGATTTTGGGATGGGAGGCATCAAATCACCCAATCCCACCCATTTCATCATCTCCTCGCTGGGCCTGGGGGGTTTGGGGATGGGGAGGCATCAAAATCAACCCCTACTATCCTCACCATCTCCCCCCACCAATTTCATCATCTCCTCGCTGGGCCTGGGGGATTCCAGGGGATGGGGAGGCATCAAAACCCCATCCACCCATTTCATCATCTCCCCACCCATTTCAGCATCTCCCCACCCATTTCAGCATCTCCTCGCTGGGCCTGGGGGGTTTGGGGGATGGGGAGGCATCAAATGACCCAATCCCACCCATTTCATCATCTCCTCATTGAGCCTGGGGGGATTTTAGGGGATGGGGAGGCACCAAAATATCCCCCCACCCATTTCATCATCTCCCCCCACCCATTTCACCATCTCCTCGCTGAGCCTGGGGGATTATGGGGATGGGGAGGCATCAAACATCCCCACCCATTTCATCATCTCCCCCCACCCATCTTCACCATCTCCTCGCTGGGCCTGGGGGAAATCCAGGCATGGGGAGGCATCAAAACATCCCCCACCCATCTTCAGCATCTCCCCCCACCCATTTCACCATCTCCTCATTGAGCCTGGGGGGATTTTAGGGATGGGGAGGCATCAAAATATCCCCCCACCCATCTTCATCATCTCCCCCCACCCATTTCACCATCTCCTCGCTGGGCCTGGGGGGATTGTGGGGATGGGAGGCATCAAAACCAACCCCCTTACTCATCCTCACCATCTCCCCCCACCCATTTCAGCATCTCCCCACCCATCTTCATCATCTCCCCCACCCATCTTCACCATCTCCTCGCTGGGCCTGGGGAAATCCGGGCATGGGGAGGCATCAAATCACCCCATCCCACTCCATTTCATCATCTCCCCACCCATTTCAGCATCTCCTCGCTGGGCCTGGGGGTTTGGGGATGGGGAGGCATCAAAATCACCTCCATCCCACCCATTTCAGCATCTCCCCCCACCCATTTCACCATCTCCTCGCTGGGCCTGGGGGATTTTAGGGGATGGGAGGCATCAAAATCAACCCCCCTACTCATCCTCACCATCTCCCCCCACCCATTTCACCATCTCCTCGCTGGGCCTGGGGGTTTAGGGGATGGGGAGGCATCAAATGACCCAATCCCACCCATTTCAGCATCTCCCCCCACCCATTTCACCATCTCCCCCCACCCATTTCACCATCTCCTCGCTGGGCCTGGGGGGGATTTCGGGGATGGGGAGGCATCAAATGACCCAATCCCACCCCCCAGAGCTGCCAGGAGTACCCCCAGGGTGGGGTTTCCCCCCCTACCCCACCCCAAATGAGGGTTCCAGGGGGTTTTCCCAGGGGATCCCGCTCCTGGGGGGCAATGGGGTGGCTGGAACTGCCCCTTGGTGCCCCCACAAACCATCCCCAAATCCAGGACCCCCAGGACCCACCTCGGATCCCCCCGGACCCCCTCAGTGACCCCAGACCCCCTCAGTGCCCCCAAGACCCCTCAGTGCCCCCAGGACCCCCTCAGTGCCCCCAGGACCCCTCAACGACCCCAGACCAACCTTGGATCCCCCAGAGCCCCTCAGGACCCCTCAGTGACCCCCCAGTGACCCCAGACCCCCTCAGTGCCCCCAGACCCCTCTCAGTGACCCCAGACCCCCTCAGTGACCCCAGGACCCCTCAGTGTCCTCCCAGGACCCCCTCAGTGCCCCCCAGGATTCACCTTGGATCCCCCACAGACCCCCTTAGTGCCCCCCTCCAGAATTCCAGGCACTGCCAGGGCTCCCTTCTATCCCAGTTCATCCCAGTGCATCCCAGCTGCCAGGGGACACTCCCAGTGCTCCCTGCCCCCCTCAGCCCCCCAGGACCCCCAGAGCCCCCAGGACCCACCTTGGATCCCCCAGAGCCCCCTTCCCCCAGAATTCCAGGCACTGCCGGGCTCCCGTTATCCCAGTTCATCCCAGTGCATCCCAGTTCATCCCAGCTGCCAGGGGACACTCCCAGTGCACTCCTGCCCCCTCAGCCCCCAGGACCCCTGAGCCCCCAGACTCACTTCTCCCTGCGCAGCTGCAGCAGGAGGCAGGACAGGGCCTCGGGGTGCTCTGGGGAAAGGAGGAGGGAACGGGATCAGCCCCGGGGGGGGTCCCAGAGTGTCCCCCCTGAGTCCCCCCCGGGGCTGGGGACAGTCCCCAACCTTGTGTTTGAGGGGCTGTAGGATTGGGATGATGATGGGGATGATGGGGATGATGGGGATGATGATGAGGATGATGAGGATGAGGATGATGGGGAAGGTCCCTACCCTTGTACTTGAGGTGCTGTAGGATTGGGATGATGATGGGGATGATGGGGATGATGATGGGGATGATGATGGGGATGATGATGAGGATGATGGGGATGATGGGAAGGTCCCTACCCTTGTACTTGAGGGGCTGTAGGACTGGGATGATGATGGGGATGATGGGGATGGGGATGATGGGGATGATGATGAGGATGATGGGGATATCCCTACCCTTGTATTTGAGGTGCTGTAGGATTGGGATGATGGGGATGATGATGGGGATGATGGGGATGATGATGAGGATGATGGGGATGATGGGGAAGGTCCCTACCCTTGTACTTGAGGTGCTGTAGGATTGGGATGATGATGGGGATGATGATGGGGATGATGGGGATGATGGGGATGATGGGGATGATGAGGATGATGGGGATGATGGGGATGATGATGATGGGGATGATGAGGATGATGGGGATGATGGGGAAGGTCCCTACCCTTGTACTTGAGGTGCTGTAGGATTGGGATGATGGGGATGATGATGGGGATGATGATGGGGATGATGATGGGGATGATGAGGATGATGAGGATGATGGGAACATCCCTACCCTTGTACTTGAGGTGCTGTAGGATTGGGATGATGGGGATATCCCTACCCTTGTACTTGAGGTGCTGTAGGATTGGGATGATGGGGATGATGATGGGGATGATGGGGATGATGGGGAAGGTCCCTACCCTTGTATTTGAGGTGCTGTAGGATTGGGATGATGGGGATGATGGGGATGATGGGGATGATGATGATGATGAGGATGATGGGGATATCCCTACCCTTGTATTTGAGGTGCTGTAGGATTGGGATGATGGGAACAGTCCCTACCCTTGTATTTGAGGTGCTGTAGGATTGGGATGATGGGGATGATGATGAGGATGATGGGGATGATGGGGAAGGTCCCTACCCTTGTATTTGAGGTGCTGTAGGATTGGGATGATGGGGATGATGAGGATGATGGGGATGATGGGGAAGGTCCCTACCCTTGTACTTGAGGTGCTGTAGGATTGGGATGATGATGGGGATGATGGGGATGATGATGGGGATGATGGGGATGATGATGGGGATGATGATGGGGATGATGATAGGGATGATGAGGATGATGGGAACAGTCCCTACCTTTGTATTTGAGGTGCTGTAGGATTGGGATGATGGGGATGATGATGGGGATGATGAGGATGATGGGGATGATGATGGGGATGATGGGGATGATGGGGATGATGGGAACAGTCCCTACCCTTGTACTTGAGGTGCTGTAGGATTGGGATGATGGGGATGATGATGGGGATGATGAGGATGATGGGGATGATGATAGGGATGATGAGGAAGGTCCCTACCCTTGTACTTCAGGTGCTGTAGGATTGGGATGATGGTCTCCAGGGGGATGCTGTGGGCCAGGAACAGTTGCCACGTGCAGTACTGCTCGAACGTCTCCCAGTCCAGGCTCTGGACTGTGGGGGGACAATGGGGACAGGGGGACAGAGGGGACAATGGGACAGTGGGGACAATGGGGGGACATTGGGGACAGAGGGGACAGTGGGGACGAGGGGACAGATGGGACAGCAGGGACAATGGGGGACAGGGACAGGGGACAGAGGGACAGGGGGACAGAGGGGATGGGGACAGTGGGGACAGAGGGACAGAGGGGACAGGGGGACAATGGGGACAAGGAGGGACAGAGGGGATGGGACAGTGGGGACAGAGGGGACAGGAGGAGCAATGGGGACAGGGGGACAATGAATGGGGACAGAGGGGACAGGGGGACAATGGGGAGCAGAGGGGACAGGGGGACAATGGGGACAGGGGGACAATGGGGACAAGGGGACAAAGAGGGGACAATGAGAGGACAGAGGGGATAATGGGGACAGTGGGAGCAGTGAGAATGGGGACAATGGGGACAATGGGGATAGTGGGGACAAGGAGGACAGAGGGGATAGTGGGGACAGAGGGGATGGGGGATAGTGGGGACAGAGGGGACAGAGGGCACAGGGGGACAATGGGGGCAGTGACAGTGGGACAGAGGGGACAATGGGGGACAGGAGGGACAGAGGGACATTGGGGACAGGGGGACAATGGGGGATATTGGGATCAGAGGGGACAATGGGGACAAGGGGACAGATGGGGACAGTGGGGACAGAGGGGACAGGGGGGATGGGGGGACAGGGGGGACAGCAAGGACAATGGGGACAGAGGGGACAGTGGGGACAAGAGGGATAATGGGGACAAGCAAGGAGAAGGGGACAGTGGGGACAGAGGGGACAAGAGGGACAATGGGGACAACAGGGACAAGGACAATGGGGACAACAGGGATAACAAGGATAATGGGGACAGTGGAACAAGAGGGACAATGGGGACAAGAGGGATAACAAGGATAAGGGGGATAACAAGGATTAGGGGGATAACAAGGATTAGGGGGATCACAGGGATGCCAAGGACAACAAGGACAGGGGGGACAAGAGGGACAACAGAGGGACAAGGGGCACAAGAAGAACCCGTCACAAACCTTCCCTTCCCTTCCCTTCCCTTCCCTTCCCTTCCCTTCCTTCCCTTTCCTTCCCTTCCCCTTCCCTTCCCTTCCTTCCCTTCCCTTCCTTCCCTTCCCTTCCCCTTCCCTTCCCTTCCCTTCCCCTTCCTTCCTTCCCTTCCCAAACCTTCCCTTCCCTTCCCTTCCCTTCCTTCCCTTCCCTTCCCTTCCTTCCCCTTCCCTTCCCCTTCCTTCCCTTCCCCTTCCCTTCCCTTCCTTCCCAACCTTCCCTTCCTTCCCTTCCCAAACCTTCCCTTCCCAAACCTTCCCCCTTCCCCTTCCTTCTCCTTCCTTCCCCCTTCCCTTCCTCTTCCCTAAACCTTCCCTTCCCTTCCTTCCCTTCCCTTCCTTCCTTCCCTTCCCTCCCTCTTCCCTTCCTTCCCTTCCCAAACCTTTCCCAAACCTTCCCAAACCTTCCCAAACCCTTCCCAAACCTTCCTTCCTTCCCAACCCTTCCCTTCCTCTCTCCCTTCCCTTCCTTCCCTTCCCTTCCCTTCCCTTCCCTTCCTTCCTTCCTTCCCTTCCCTTCCTCTTCCCTTCCCCAAACCCTTCCCTTCCCAAACCTTCCCTTCCCTTCCCTTCCCAAACCTTCCCTTCCCTTCCCTTCCCAAACCTTCCCTTCCCAAACCTTCCCTTCCCTTCCCTTCCCTTCCCTTCCCTTCCCTTCCCTTCCCAAACCTTCCTTCTTCCTTCCCTTCCCTTCCCTTCCCAAACCTTCCCTAAACCTTCCCTTCCCAAACCTTCCCTTCCCTTCCTTCCCCTTCCCTTCCCTTCCCTTCCCTTCCTTCCCTTCCCTTCCCTTCCCCTTCCCTTCCCTTCCCTTCCCAAACCTTCCCAAACCTTCCCTTCCCTTCCCTTCCCCTTCCTTCCCTTCCTTCCTTCCCTTCCCCTTCCCTTCCCTTCCCTTCCCTTCCCTTCCCAAACCTTCCCTTCCCTTCCCAAACCTTCCCAAACCTTCCCTCCCCTTCCCTTCCCTTCCCTTCCCTTCCCTTCCCAAACCTTCCCTTCCCAAACCTTCCCTTCTTGGGCCCCCTCCCCCCTCCCCACCCCCCTCTGGAGCCCCTGGAATGGGGTTGGAATCCCTGACCCGGGAAGGGGCTCTGGGATTAACGAGGCTCGTTAATTAACAAGGGGCTTATCCCGCTGCTTCCTGCTCAGTGAGCCCAGTGCTGGAACAGCGGGATCAGCTCCAGGAACTCGGAAATCCGGGAATTCCGAGGACCCCACGGAACTGGGATGGATTCTGGGATTTTTTTCCCCCCTTTCCTTGGTTTGTTTTAGGATTCCCAAGGATTCCCCTGCCCTGGCACTCTGGGAATGCTGCAGCTCCCGGGAATCCCACCCAGAAAAACCGGGAAAAGGGTTTGGATTGCAGGGATAAAAAATCCCCCCCTCCCCTCAATCCTCTTTGGGGGCCACGAGATCCTTTAATCCCCCAAATCCAACCAAATCCAAACCTCGGGATAACCCTGGGGCAGCTCCAAGCAGGAGGATCCCCCTGGTTGGTTGGGGGGTTGTGGTTTTTTTTTTCCCATCCCAGGAATTGCTGTTCCTTCATTCCCATCCCAGGGATTCCCAGCCCAGGAATTCCCATCCCAGGAATTCCCATCCTCAGGAATTCCCATCCCAGGAATTCCCACCCCTCAGGAATTCCCATCCCAGGGATTCCCATCCCAGGAATTGCTGTTCCTTCATTCCCATCCCAGGGATTCCCAGCCCAGGAATTCCCATCAGGAATTCCTTCAGGAATTCCCATCCCAGGAATTCCCATCCCAGGAATTCCCATCCCAGGAATTCCCATCCCAGGAATTGCTGTTCCTTCATTCCCATCCCAGGGATTCCCACCCCAGGGATTCCCATCCCAGGAATTCCCATCCCAGGGATTCCCATCCTAGGAATTGCTGTTCCTTCATTCCCATCCCAGGAATTCCCATCCCAGGAATTCCCATCCCAGGGATTCCCATCCCAGGAATTCCCATCCCAGGAATTCCCACCCCCCAGGAATTCCCATCCCAGGAATTCCCATCCCAGGAATTCCCATCCCGGGAATTCCCATCCCGGGAATTGCTGTTCCTTCATTCCCATCCCAGGGATTCCCACCCCTCAGGAATTCCCATCCCAGGAATTCCCATCCCAGGAATTCCCAGCCCAGGAATTGCTGTTCCTTCATTCCCATCCCAGGAATTCCCATCCCAGGAATTGCTGTTCCTTCATTCCCATCCCAGGAATTCCCATCCCAGGAATTCCCATCCCAGGAATTCCCATCCCAGGGATTCCCACCCCAGGAATTCCCATCCCAGGAATTGCTGTTCCATGAATTCCCATCCCAGGAATTCCCATCCCAGGAATTCCCATCCCGGGAATTCCCATCCCAGGAATTGCTGTTCCTTCATTCCCATCCCAGGAATTCCCATCCCAGAATTCCCATCCCGGGAATTCCCATCCCAGGAATTCCCATCCCAGGAATTCCCATCCCAGGGATTCCCATCCCAGGAATTCCCATCCCAGGAATTGCTGTTCCTTCATTCCCATCCCAGGAATTCCCATCCCGGGGATTCCCACCCCAGGAATTCCCACCCCTCAGGAATTCCCATCCCAGGAATTGCTGTTCCTTCATCAGAATTCCCATCCCGGGATTCCCATCCCAGGAATTCCCATCCCAGGAATTCCCATCCCAGGAACTGCTGTTCCTTCATTCCCATCCCAGGAATTCCCATCCCAGGAATTCCCATCCCAGGAATTGCCACCCCTCAGGAATTCCCATCCCAGGAATTCCCATCCCAGGGATTCCCACCCCAGGAATTCCCATCCCAGGAATTCCCACCCCTCAGGAATTCCATCCAGGGATTCCCACCCTCAGGAATTCCCATCCCTGCAATTCCCATCCCAGGAATTCCCATCCCAGGGATTCCCATCCCAGGAATTCCCACCCCAGGAATTCCCATCCCGGGAATTCCCATCCCAGGGATTCCCACCCCAGGAATTCCCATCCCAGGAATTGCTGTTCCTTCATTCCCATCCCAGGAATTCCCATCCCAGGGATTCCCATCCCGGGAATTCCCATCCCAGGAATTGCTGTTCCTTCATTCCCATCCCAGGAATTCCCACCCCAGGATGCTATCCTTCATCCCATCCCGGGAATTCCCATCCCAGGAATTCCCATCCCAGGAATTCCCATCCCAGGATGCTGTTCATTCCCATCCCAGGAATTCCCACCCCAGGAATTCCCATCCCAGGAATTCCCATCCCAGGAATTCCCCCCGGCTCACTGAGGATGTTGAGCACGGAATCCTTGCGGAACATCACCAGGTTCCCCATCATCACGTGGCACACCAGCTCCTGCAGCTGGAAAAGGGCATGGGAAAAACTGGGAATCAGGAGGGATCTGGGATATGGGGAGGGTTCCCAGCTGGGATCCGGTGGGAAAAGGGGGAAGGAGAAATCCTTGGGATTCCTGGGGGGGTGGGAGGTGAGGGGGGGAAGTTCCCTGCACACAGAGACCACTTTGGGGTCAAATCTTCCAGGAATGGGGGGGAAAAGTTGGGAAGGAGGAGAGGGAGGAGGAGGAGGAAGAGGAGGAGGAGGAGGAGGAGGAGGAGGAGGAGGAGGAAGAGGAAGAGGAAGAGGAAGAGGAAGAGGAAGAGGAAGAGGAGGAGGAGGAGGAGGAGGAGGAGGAAGAGGAGGAGGAGGAGGAAGAGGAGGAGGAGGAGGAGGAGGAAGAGGAAGAGGAGGGAGGAGGAGGAGGAGGAGGAGGAGGAGGAGGAAGAGAAGAGAAGAGAAGAGGAAGAGGAAGAGGAGGAGGGAGGAGGAGGAGGAGGAGAGGAGGAGGAGGAGGAGGAAGAGGAGGAGGTGGAGGAGGAGGAAGAGGAAGAGAGGAGGAGGAGGGAGGAGGAGGAGGAGGAGGAAGAGGAAGAGGAAGAGGAAGAGGAAGAGGAAGAGGAAGAGGAGGAAGAGGAGGAGGAAGAGGAGGAAGAGGAGGAGGAAGAGGAGGAGGAGGAGGAGGAGGAGGAAGAGGAAGAGGAAGAGGAGGAGGAAAAGGAGGAGGAGGAGGAAGAGGAGGAGGAAGAGGAAGAGGAAGAGGAAGAGGAAGAGGAAGAGGAGGAGGAGGAGGAGGAGGTGGAAGAGGAGGAAAAGGAGGAGGAGGAAGAGGAAGAGGAAGAGGAAGAGGAGGAAGAGGAGGAGGAAGAGGAGGAAGAGGAGGAAGAGGAGGAGGAGGAAGAGGAAGAGGAGGAGGAGGAGGAAGAGGAAGAGGAAGAGGAAGAGGAAGAGGAGAGAGATTTTGGGGCCCAGATTTTAGGGGCCCAGATTTTAGGAGGATGTTTTAGGGGGTCAAATCTCCTGGGAATGAGAGGCCAGGAATAATTCCCACCTGGAAGGAGTCGATGACGGCCACGATCATGTTGAGCAGCTCCCCACTCCGCAGGGTCTCGTCTGGGAACTGGGAAAATCCCAAAAAAAAAACAGGGAAAAAGTTCAGGGAGAGACCCCCAGGGGGAAAAAAAAACAAAAAAAGCCTTTCCCAAAAAAAAAAAGCTTCCAATTCCGACGGGAAAAACTCCACGGGGTGAAGCATCCGAGGGGTGGCAGCCTCAGAGATCCTGGAATTCCTGGAGAGATCCTGGAATTCCTGGAGAGATCCTGGAATTCCAGGGGATCCAAAGGATGGGGAGGGATCCCAAGGAGTGGTGTAGATGGAAGAGGGGAGGTGCAGGGGCTCAGTGGGGGGGTCCCAGGGGGGTCTCACCTCGGTGTAGATGGAGGGGGTGAGGAGTAGAGGGTCAGTGAGGGGTCTCAGGTGGGTAGGTGTCTCAGGGGATGAGGTGCAGGGGGTCACTGAGGGGTCTAGTGTGGGGTCTCAGGTGGGTGGGGGTCTCAGGGGGTTTCACCTTGGTGTAGATGGAGAGGTGAGGTGCAGGGGGGTCAGGGGGGTCATGTGAGGGGTCCCAGGTGGGTGAGGGGTCTCAGTGGGGTCTCACCTGGTGTAGATGAAGGGGGTGAGTGCAGGGGGTCAGTGTGGGGTCCCAGGTGGGTGGGGGTCCCAGGTGGGGTCTCACCTCTGTGTAGATGGAGGGGTGAGGTGCAGGGGGTCACTGAGGGGTCTCAGGTGGGGTTTCAGTGAGGGGTCCCAGGTGGGTGGGGGTCCCAGGGGAGGTGCAGGGGGTCAGCTGGGGGTCTCACCCTGTGTAGATGGAGGGGTGAGTGCAGGGGGCTCAGTGCAGGGGGTCTCAGGGGGGTCTCAGGGGTCTCACTCGTGTAGATGGAGGGGTGAGGTGCAGGGGTCACTGAGGGGTCCCAGGTGGTGGGGTCTCACCTCAGTGTAGATGGAGGGAGTGAGGTACAGGGGGGTCTCAGGGGTTCACCTCGGTGTAGATGGAGGGGTGAGTGCAGGGGGTCTCAGGGGATCTCAGGGTCTCACCTCAGTGTAGATGGAGGGGCTGAGGTGCAGGGGGTCACTGAGGGGGTCAGTGTGGGGGTCTCAGGGGGGTCTCACCTCGGTGTAGATGGAGGGGGTGAGGTACAGGGGGGTCTCAGGGGGTCTCACCTCGGTGTAGATGGAGGGGTGAGGTGGAGGGGGTCACTGAGGGGCTCAGTGTGGGGGTCCTAGGTGGGTGGGGGTCTCAGGGGGTCTCACCTCGGTGTAGATGGAGGGGTGAGGTACAGGGGAGTCACTGAGGGGTCACTGAGGGTCTCAGGTGGGGGGTTCAGTGAAGGGTCCCAGGTGGGTGGGGGTCTCAGGGGAGGTGCAGGGGGTCTCAGGGGGGTCACTGGGGGTCTCACCTCGGTGTAGATGGAGGGGGTGAGGAACAGGGAGTCACTGAGGGGTCACTGAGGGGTCACTGGGGGGTCACTGAGGGTCTCACCTCGGTGTAGATGGAGGGGCTGAGGTGCAGGGGGTCAGTGTGGGATCAGTGAGGGGTCCCAGGTGGGTGGGGGTCCCAGGGGAGGTGCAGGGGGTCACTGAGGGGTCTCAGGGGGTCTCACCTCTGTGTAGATGGAGGGGGTGAGGAAGCAGAGCAGCCTGACATCATCCTCCTGGCAGGCCTTCATGTCCATCATCAGGCAGGTGTGCAGCTCCCCCAGCTGAGTGGCCTGGGCAAAGGACTCGTAGAGACTCATCTTCCCAACTGCTGCTTTGCTGGGGACACACAGGGACAACTCAGGGACAGGGGACACGGCAGGGACACAGCAGGGACAGGGGACACCTCAGGGGACACAGCAGGGACAGGTGGGACATGGGCAAAGGACTCGTAGAGGCTCATCTTCCCCACTGCTGCTTTGCTGGGGACACACAGGGGACAGGGGACACCTCAGGGACAGGTGGGACATGGCAGGGACAGGTGGGACATGGGCAAAGGACTCGTAGAGACTCATCTTCCCCACTGCTGCTTTGCTGGGGACACACAGGGACACATCAGGGACACCTGAGGGTCAGGGGACACCTCAGGGGACAGGAGACACCTCAGGGACACCTCAGGGACACCTCAGGGGACAGGGGACACATGAGGGGACAGGTGGGACACCTCAGGGGACAGGTGGGACATGGGCAAACGACTCGTACAGGCTCATCTTCCCCACTGCTGCTTTGCTGGGGACACACAGGGGACAACTCAGGGACACCTCAGGGACACCTCAGGGACACCTCAGGGACACCTCAGGGACACCTCAGGGACACACAGGGACACCTCAGGGACACCTCAGGGACACCTCATGGACAGGGGACACCTCAGGGACACCTCAGGGACAGGGGACACCTCAGGGACAGGGGACACAGGGACAGGTGGGACACAGCAGGGACAGGTGGGACATGGGCAAAGGACTCGTACAGGCTCATCTTCCCCACTGCTGCTTTGCTGGGGACACACAGGGACACCTCAGGGACACCTCAGGGACACCACAGGGACACCTCAGGGACACACAGGGACACACAGGGGACACCTCAGGGACACCTCAGGGACACATGGCAGGGACACCTCAGGGACAGGTGGGACATGGGCAAAGGACTCGTACAGGCTCATCTTCCCAACTGCTGCTTTGCTGGGGACACACAGGGACAACTCAGGGACACCTCAGGGACACACAGGGGACAGGGGACACCTCAGGGACACCTCAGGGACAGGGGACACAAAAGGGACACGGCAGGGACACAGCAGGGGACAGGGGACAGAGGGGTCAAGGTGAGGGAGGTGGAAGGAGAAGTGCCCAGGTGAGAAGGAGGTGCCCAGGGAGGTGCCCAGGTGAGAAGGAGCTGCCCAGGTGAGATTGAGCTGCCCAGGGAGGTGCCCAGGTGAGAGGGAGGTGCCCAGGTGAGATTGAGCTGCCCAGGTGAGGTGCCCAGATGAGATGCCCAGGTGAGATGCCCAGGCAGGTGCCCAGGTAGGTGCCCAGGTAGGTGCCCATGGAGGTGCCCAGGCAAAAGGGAGGTGCCCAGGTGAGAAGGAGGTGCCCAGGGAGGTGCCCAGGCAGGTGCCCAGGTAAAAGGGAGATGCCCAGGTGAGAGGGAGGTGCCCAGGGAGGTGCCCAGGTAGGTGCCCAGGGAGGTGCCCAGGCAAAAGGGAGGTGCCCAGGTAGGTGCCCAGGGAGGTGCCCAGGCAAAAGGGAGGTGCCCAGGTGAGAAGGAGGTGCCCAGGGAGGTGCCCAGGCAAAAGGGAGGTGCCCAGGTAGGTGCCCAGGGAGGTGCCCAGGCAAAAGGGAGGTGCCCAGGTAGGTGCCCAGGGAGGTGCCCAGGCAAAAGGGAGGTGCCCAGGTGAGAAGGAGGTGCCCAGGGAGGTGCCCAGGCAGGTGCCCAGGTAAAAGGGAGATGCCCAAGTGAGAAGGTGCCCAGTGAGCTGCCCAGGTGAGAGGGAGGTGCCCAGGTGAGAAGGAGGTGCCCAGGGAGGTGCCCAGGTGAGAAGGAGCTGCCCAGGTGAGCTGCCCAGGTGAGATTGAGCTGCCCAGGTGAGGTGCCCAGATGAGCTGCCCAGGTGAGATTGAGCTGCCCAGGGGACTGCCCAGGTGAGAAGGTGCCCAGGTGAGAAGGTGCCCAGGTGAGAGGGAGGTGCCCAGGTGAGAGGGAGGTGCCCAGGGAGGTGCCCAGGTGAGGTGCCCAGGTGAGAGGGAGCTGCCCAGGTGAGAAGGAGGTGGAAGGAGAGCTGCCCAGGGAGGTGCCCAGGTGAGAGGGAGCTGCCCAGGTGAGAAGGAGGTGGAAGGAGAGCTGCCCAGGGAGGTGCCCAGGTGAGATGGAGCTGCCCAGGTGAGAAGGAGGTGGAAGGAGAGCTGCCCAGGGAGGTGCCCAGGTGAGATTGAGCTGCCCAGGTGAGCTGCCCAGGTGAGACTGAGCTGCCCAGGGAGGTGCCAGGCAGGTGCCCAGGTAAAAGGGAGGTGCCCAGGTGAGATTGAGCTGCCCAGGTGAGAGGGAGGTGGAAGAAGAGGTGCCCAGGTGAGATTGAGGTGCCCAGGGAGGTGCCCAGGGAGGTGCCCAGGGAGGTGCCCAGGTGAGATGCCCAGGCAGGTGCCCAGGTGAGCTGCCCAGGTGAGGTGCCCAGGCAGGTGCCAGGCAGGTGTGCCCACCTGGCCCTGAGGTAGTAGAGCAGGTGGTAGCCGATCTTGGGCTGTTTCTGGTAGAGCTCGGACAGCAGGTCCAGCAGGAGGGAGAAGCCGCTGTTGTCCTCCTGCATCTGGCACAGGTTCCTTGGGAATGCCGGGAACGTCACCGGGATCACCACGGGCAGCCTCCCCCCCACACCCCATTCCAACGGAATTCCCATGGAATTCCAACAGAATTCCAACAGAATTCACCCAGAATTCACCCAAAATTCACACAGAATTCCCACAGAATTCCCCCCCATAATTCCCACAATTCCCACACAATTCCCACAGAATTCACCCAGAATTCACCCAGAATTCCCCCAGAATTCACCCCCATAATTCCCACAATTCCCACACAATTCCCACAGAATTCACCCAGAATTCCCACACAATTCCCCCAGAATTCCAAGAGAACTCCCCAGAATTCACCCAGAATTCCTCCAGAATTCCCACAGAATTCCTCCAGAATTCCCACAGAATTCCCCCAGAATTCCCACACAATTCCTACAGAATTCCCACACAATTCCCCCACAATTCCCACAGAATTTCCCCAAAATTCCCACACAATTCCCCCAAAACTCCCCCAGAATTCACACAGAATTCCCCCAGAATTCCCACACAATTCCCCCAGAATTCCCCCAGAATTCCCACAGAATTCCCAGAATTCCCACAGAATTCCCACACAATTCCCCAGAATTCCCCAGAATTCCCCAGAATTCCCACAATTCCCCAGAATTCCCCAGAATTCCCCACAGAATTCCCACAGAATTCCCAGAATTCCCAGAATTCCCAGAATTCCACACAATTCCCACAGAATTCCCCAGAATTCCCACAATTCCCCAGAATTCCCACAGAATTCACCACAGAATTCTCACAATTCCCAGAATTCCAGAATTCCCATCAGAATTCCCACAGAATTCCCACACAATTCCCACAAAATTCCCCAGAATTCCCACAATTCCCCCAGAATTCCCACACAATTCCCACAGAATTCCCCCAGAATTCCCACAGAATTCCCCCCAAATTCCCACACAATTCCCCCAGAATTCCCCCAAAATTCCCCCCACACAATTCCCCAGAATTCCACAGAATTCCCCAGGTTCCACAGAATTCCCACAGAATTCCCTACAATTCCCCAGAATTCCCCAGAATTCCCACAAATTCCCCAGAATTCCCACACAATTCCACACAAATTCCCCAGAATTCCCACACAATTCCCCCAGAATTCCCACAGAATTCACCCAAAATTCACACAGAATTCCCACAGAACTCCCCCAGAATTCCCACACAATTCCCCCAGAATTCCCACACAATTCCCACAGAATTCACCCAGAATTCCCACAGAATTGCCCCAGAATTCCCACAGTTCCCACACAATTCCCACACAATTCCCAAAGAATTCCCACAAAATTCCCCTACAATTCCCCTGGAATTCCCACACAATTCCCACAAAATTCCCCCAGAATTCCCCAGAATTCCCTCAGAATTCCCACACAATTCCCACACAATTCACCCAGAATTCCCACACAATTCCCCCAGAATTCCCACAAAATTCCCACACAATTCCCCAGAATTCCCACAGAATTCCCCCCCAAACAATCCTGGATTCCCAGCAGGCAGGGAGAGGCTCCGGGGATTTTGGGATGGGGTGGGAAGGAGCTCAGAATTCCAAGGGAATTCCTACCGGAATATCAGGTAGAGGGGCTTCCCCACCGACTCCTCCAGGGACCTGTGGGATCAAAACACCCCCATTCCGTGTTTTCCTGGGAAAAAAACCTGGATTCTGATCAATTTTCCCTTCCCAAACAGCTCCAATTCCAAAAAACCTTGGATAAAGATCCTTTTGGGAGCTCAGTAAGGAATTTCCTTCCCAAACAGCTCCAATTCCAAGAAAAACTTGGATAAAGATCCTTTTTGGGGAGTTGAGTGAGGAATTTCCTTCCCAAAAACTCCAATTCCAAGAAAACCTTGGAGAAAGATCCTTTTAGGGAGTTGAGTGAGGAATTTCCTTCCCAAAAAAAGGGAGATCCAGGTTTTTTTTCCACCCCTTGGGAAAAACCCCCTGGATTTTGCTCCCTTTTCCCTTCCCAAACAGCTCCAATTCCAAGAAAACCTTGGATAAAGATCCTTTTTGGGAGCTCAGTAAGGAATTTCCTTCCCAAACAGCTCCAATTCCAAGAAAAACTTGGAGAAAGATCCTTTTTGGGGAGCTCAGTAAGGAATTCCCTTCCCAAAAAGGGGGATCCTCTTTTATTTTCCCCCTGGAAAAACCCCCTGGATTTTGCTCCCTTTTCCCTTCCCAAACAGCTCCAATTCCAAGAAAACCTTGGAAAAAGATCCTTTTGGGAGTCCAAAAAGCTCCAATTCCAAGAAAACCTTGGAGGAAGAACCTTTGGAGAGTTCAGTGAGGAATTCCCTTCCCAAAAACTTCAATTCCAAGAAAAACTTGGAAAAAGATCCTTTTGGGGAGCTGAGTGAGGAATTTCCTTCCCAAAAAACTCCAATTCCAAGAAAACCTTGGAGGAAAAACCTTGGGAGTCCAGTAAGGAATTCCCTTCCCAAACAGCTCCAATTCCAAGAAAACCTTGGAGAAAGAACCTTTTGGGAGTCCAAAAAGCTCCAATTCCAAGAAAACCTTGGATAAAGATCCTTTTTGGGGAGTTGAGTGAGGAATTTCCTTCCCAAAAAGCTCCAATTCCAAGAAAACCTTGGAGAAAGATCCTTTTGGGGAGCTCAGTAAGGAATTTCCTTCCCAAAAAACTCCAATTCCAAGAAAAACTTGGAGAAAGAACCATTTTGGGAGCTCAGTGAGGAATTTCCTTCCCCAAAAAAGGGGGATCCTGGGTTTTTTTCCACCCCCCAGGAAAAACCTCCTGGATGTTGCTCTCTTTTCCCTTCCCAAACAGCTCCAATTCCAAGAAAACCTTGGATAAAGAGCCTTTTGGGAGTCCAAAAAACTCCAATTCCAAGAAAAACCTTGGAGAAAGATCCTTTTTGGGGAGTTGAGTGAGGAATTCCCTTCCCAAAAACCTCCAATTCCAAGAAAACCTTGGAGGAAGAACCTTTGGAGAGTTCAGTGAGGAATTCCCTTCCCAAACAGCTCCAATTCCAAGAAAACCTTGGAGGAAAAACCTTTGGAGAGTTCAGTGAGGAATTCCCTTCCCAAAAAAAGGGAGATCCCAGCTTTTTTTTTCCCCCTGGGAAGGGACAGGAGAGCCATCCCAGGGAATTCCTGATCCCAGGGGATTCCCAATCCCAGGGACTCCCAATCCCAGGAATTCCCACTCCCAGGGAATTCCCACTGCTTACTCCTCGGTGATCTCCTCGGGCAGGACCTCCCCTCGGAACTGAGCCTTGAAGAGCTCCTGGAGGCAGGAGGCGAGCACGGAGAGCTGCTCCGAGTCAAAATCCTCCTGGAAAACGGGAAAGTTGGGAATTTCCAGCCCCTAATTAACAGCCAGGGATTAATTAATACCCAATCAACCCCTCCCCCCTTGTCCCGGGGATTCCAGGAGTTCCAAGGAAAATGGAACTGAGGGGAAATTGAGGATTGAGGATCCTGATCCTTTCCAAACATTCCCATCCCTTCCCACCCCTTCCCAACCATCCCAAAAAAAGTTTGGGAACGTCCCAGGTCGTTCCCAGCGATCCCAGATCACTCCCAGGGATCCCAGACCATTCCCAGATCACTCCCAGCAATCCCAGATGTCTCCCAGACCATTCCCAGCGATCCTGGGTCTCTCCTAGACCATTCCCAGTGATCCCAGATGTCTCCCAGACCATTCCCAGCTATCCCAGACCATTCCCAGCAATCCCAGATCTCTCCCAGACCATTCCCAGTGATCCCAGATCACTCCCAGCAATCCCAGATGTCTCCCAGAGCATTCCCAGTGATCCCAGATCATTCCCAGTGATCCCAGACCACTGACAGGGATCCTGGATGTCTCCCAGTGATCATTCCCAGCTATCCCAGACCATTCCCAGCAATCCCAGATTACTGACAGGAATCCTGGATCTCTCCCAGACCATTCCCAGCTATCCCAGACCATTCCCAGGGATCCCAGATGCCTCCCAGACCATTCTCAGATATCCCAGATCACTCCCAGGGATCCTGGATCTCTCCCAGACCATTCCCAGATATCCCAGATCACTCCCAGCAATCCCAGACGTCTCCCAGACCATTCCCAGAGTTCCCAGATGTCTCCCAGACCATTCCCAGATATCCCAGATCACTCCCAGGATCAATCCCAGACATTCCTGGATCCAGATCTCCCAGAATCCGATTCCCAGGCATCAGTGATCCCAGACCATTTCCAGTGTTCCCAGATGTCTCCCAGACCATTCCCAGGGATCCTGGATCACTCCCAGCTATCCCAGACCATTCCCAGCTATCCCAGACCATTCCCAGGGATCCCAGACCACTCCCAGCAATCCCAGATGCCTCCCAGACCATCCCCAGGGATCCTGGATCTCTCCCAGACCATTCCCAGAGTTCCCAGATCACTGACAGAGATCCTGGATCACTCCCAGCTATCCCAGACCATTCCCAGCAATCCCAGATCTCTCCCAGACCATTCCCAGGGATCCCAGACCATTCCCAGATAACCCAGATCACTGACAGGGATCCTGGATCACTCCCAGACCATTCCCAGGGATCCCAGACCATTCCCAGAGTTCCCAGATGTCTCCCAGACCATTCCCAGGGATCCCAAACCATTCCCAGGGATCCCAAACCATTCCCAGGGATCCTGGATCTCTCCCAGATCATTCCCAGAGTTCCCAGATGCCTCCCAGACCATTCCCAGTGATCCCAGATCACTGACAGGGATCCTGGATGCCTCCCAGAGCATTCCCAGCATTCCCAGATGTCTCCCAGACCATTCCTAGGGATCCCAGACCATTCCCAGTGTTCCTGGATCTCTCCCAGACCATTCCTAGGGATCCCAGACCATTCCCAGCTGTCTCCCAGCAGCTCCTGGGAATGCTGAGGCTCTGGGAACAGGGACACAAATCCCTCACGGATCCCAGGAGGAGCATCCTGAGCTTCCCAAAGCCCATCCCAGACGGATTCCAGGCCCTCCCCCCCCTCCTGCATCCCAAATCCCAGGGATTGGGAGCTCCATCCCAGCCCGGGGTTACCTCCAGGACCTGATCCACGATCTCCTGCATCACCTCACACTGCGCCTCCGTGTCGCTGGGCCCGGAAAAAACAGGGAATTCCCAGTTATTTGGGAAAATCCGGAGAGCAGGGATGGGGGAGGGGTGGGAACGGGGCTGGGGGAGGGGATCCAACCCTCTGGAATGCCTGGAATCTCCAGGGATTGGGAATGGCCAGGATCTGGATCAGGATCCAATTCCCTTTGGATCTGAATCCAACTCCCTGGAATGTCTGGAATCTCAGGGGAATGGCCAGGACCTGGATCAGGATCCAATTCCCTTTGGATCTGCATCCAACCCTCTGGAATCTCAGGGGAATGGCCAGGACCTGGATCAGGATCCAATTCCCTCTGGATCTGGATCCAACCCTCTGGAATCTCTGGAATCTCAGGGGAATGGCCAGGACTTGGATCAGGATCCAATTCCCTTTGGATCAGGATCCAACCCTCTGGAATCTCTGGAATCTCAGGGGAATGGTCAGGATCAGGATTAGGATCCAATTCCCTTTGGACCTGGATCAGGATCCCATTCCCTTTGGATCTGGGTCCAACCCTCTGGAATCTCTGAAGCTCCAGGGAATGGGAATGGCCAGGACCTGGATCAGGATCCAATTCCCTTTGGATCTGCATCCAACCCTCTGGAATTTCTGGAGCTCCAGGGATTGGGAATGGCCAGGAAAGCCAAACTTAACAGCCTTTCCCTTTGGATCAGGATCCAACCCTCTGGAATCTCTGGAATCTCAGGGGAATGGCCAGGATCTGGATCAGGATCCAATTCCCTTTGGATTGGGATCCAACCCCCTGGAATCTCTGGAGCTCCAGGGATTGGGAATGGCCAGGACCTGGATCAGGAATCCCAGGAGCAATTCCAGGTGGAATTCCAGGAGGAAAACACTGGGAAAAACACCCCCTTCTCCATCCCAACATTCCCAACTCCCCCTTTCCTCCAATCCCAACACCAGGGGGTGGGAAAATCCAGGAGCTTTTCCCTTCCCCTTAATCCCCCTGATCCAGAGGAATTCCTGTCTGCCCAAGGGAAAATTCCTTCCCCACTGGAAAAACTTGGGAATTGCTGCCCTGGGGAGGTTGGGGTGGATCCCTGGGAATGGGAATGGGAATGGGAATGGGGATGGGAATGGGAATGGGGATGGGAATGGGAATGGGGATGGGAATGGGAATGGGAATGGGGCTGGGAATGGGGATGGGAATGGGGATGGGGATGGGAATGGGGATGGGAATGGGAATGGGAATGGGAATGGGAATGGGGATGGGAATGGGGATGGGGATGGGAATGGGAATGGGGATGGGAATGGGGATGGGGATGGGAGTGGGGATGGGAATGGGGATGGGAATGGGAATGGGAATGGGAATGGGAATGGGGATGGGAATGGGGATGGGAATGGGAATGGGGATGGGAATGGGAATGGGGATGGGAATGGGGATGGGAATGGGAATGGGAATGGGAATGGGAATGGGAATGGGGATGGGAATGGGGATGGGAATGGGGATGGGAATGGGGATGGGAATGGGAATGGGAATGGGAATGGGGATGGGAATGGGGATGGGAATGGGGATGGGGATGGGAATGGGAATGGGAATGGGAATGGGAATGGGGGATGGGAATGGGGATGGGAATGGGAATGGGGATGGGAATGGGAATGGGGATGGGAATGGGGATGGGAATGGGAATGGGAATGGGAATGGGGATGGGAATGGGGATGGGAATGGGAATGGGGATGGGAATGGGAATGGGGATGGGAATGGGAATGGGAATGGGGATGGGAATGGGGATGGGAATGGGGATGGGAATGGGAATGGGGATGGGAATGGGAATGGGAATGGGAATGGGGATGGGGATGGGAATGGGGATGGGGATGGGGATGGGGATGGGGATGGGAATGGGAATGGGAATGGGGATGGGAATGGGAATGGGAATGGGGATGGGGATGGGAATGGGGATGGGAATGGGGATGGGAATGGGGATGGGAATGGGAATGGGAATGGGAATGGGGATGGGGATGGGGATGGGAATGGGAATGGGGATGGGGATGGGGATGGGAATGGGGATGGGGATGGGAATGGGGATGGGGATGGGAATGGGGATGGGAATGGGGATGGGAATGGGGATGGGAATGGGAATGGGAATGGGAATGGGAATGGGAATGGGAATGGGGATGGGAATGGGGATGGGAATGGGAATGGGGATGGGAATGGGAATGGGGATGGGAATGGGGATGGGAATGGGAATGGGAATGGGAGTGGGGATGGGAATGGGAATGGGGATGGGAATGGGGATGGGGATGGGAATGGGGATGGGAATGGGGATGGGGATGGGAATGGGAATGGGAATGGGGATGGGAATGGGAATGGGAATGGGGATGGGAATGGGAATGGGAATGGGGATGGGGATGGGAATGGGGATGGGGATGGGGATGGGAATGGGAATGGGGATGGGGATGGGAATGGGAATGGGGATGGGAATGGGGATGGGAATGGGGATGGGAATGGGAATGGGGATGGGAATGGGGATGGGAATGGGAATGGGAAAGCTCCCACCTGCCCTTCTGCAGCTGCAGGACTTTGTCCTTGAGGGATTCCTCCAACTGCTCCAGGAAGGGCGTGATGTCCACGGGCTCCTCCACGATGGAGTCCTTGATGGGATGGAAGCGGAACTCCCTCTTCTTCCCTGAGCCGAGGAAAATGGGGGGGGAAAAATCAGGGAATTTCTCCTTGGAGGAAAGTTCAGGAAAAAAAAACCTGGGAAAGGCAAAAGGATCCGAGCAGATCCAGAGGGGGGGGGTGGGAGGAGCTGGAATCTCTGGAGCTCCAGGGATTGGGAATGGCCAGGATCTGGATCTGGATCCAATTCCCTTTGGATTGGGATCCAACCCTCTGGAATCTCTGGAATCTCAGGGGAATGGGAATGGCCAGGACTTGGATCAGGATCCAATTCCCTTTGGAGCTGGATCCAATTCCCTGTGGATCTGGATCAGGATCCAATTCCCTGTGGATCTGGTTTAGGATCCAATTCCCTTTGGATCTGGATCAGGATCCAATTCCCTTTGGATCAGGATCCAATTCCCTGTGGATCTGGGATCCAATTCCCTCTGGACCCTCTGGAATCTCTGGAGCTCCAGGGAATGGCCCAGGATCTGGATCTGGACCCAATTCCCTTTGGATCAGGATCCAACCCTCTGGAATCTCTGGAATCTCAGGGGAATGGCCAGGACCTGGATCAGGATCCAATTCCCTTTAGATTGGGATCCAACCCTCTGGAATCTCTGGAGCTCCAGGGAGTAACAGCCAGGATCTGGATCAGGATCCAATTCCCTTTGGATCTGGATCTGGACCCAATTCCCTTTGGCTCTGGATCAGGATCCAATTCCATTTGGATCTGAATCAGGATCCAATTCCTGTGGATCTGGATCAGGATCCAATTCCCTGTGGATCTGGGATCCAATTCCCTTTGGATCAGGATCCAACCCTCTGGAATCTCTGGAGCTCCAGGATCTGGATCAGGATCCAATTCCCTTTGGCTCTGGTTTAAGATCCAATTCCCTTTGGCTCTGGTTTAGGATCCCATTCCCTTTGGATCTGGATCTGGATCCAACCCTCTGGAATCGCTGGAGCTCCAGGGAGTAATGGCCAGGATCTGGGATCAGGATCCAATTCCATTTGGATCTGGATCCAATTCCCTTTGGATCTGGACCCAATTCCCTGTGGATCTGGATCAGGATCCAATTCCATTTGGATCTGGGATCCAATTCCCTTTGGATCTGGATCCAACCCCCTGGAATCTCTGGAGCTCCAGGATCTGGCTCTGGGATCCAATTCCCTTTGTATCTGGGATCCAACCCTGGAATCTCTGAGCTCAGGGATCTAACTCCCGGATCTGGATCTGGATCCAATTCCCTTTGGTTCTGGATCCAATTGCCTTTGGCTCTGGATCTGGACCCAATTCCCTTTGGATCAGGATCCAATTCCCTGTGGATCTGGTTTAGGATCCAATTCCCTTTGGACCTGGATCAGGATCCAATTCCCTTTGGATCAGGATCCAACCCTCTGGAATCTCTGGAGCTCCAGGATCTGGATCAGGATCCCATTCCCTTTGGCTCTGGATCAGGATCCAATTCCCTTTGGCTCTGGTTTAGGATCCCATTCCCTTTGGCTCTGGATCCAATTCCTGTGGCTCTGGATCCAACCCTCGAATCGCTGAGCTCCAGGAGCAATGGCCAGATCTGGATCAGGATCCACTCTTTTGATCTGGATCCAACCCCTTGGATCTGGCTTAGGACTCCAATTCCCTTGACTGGATCGGATCCACCCCTGTGGATCTGGTTTAGATCCACTTCCTTGATCTGGATCCAATTCTTTGGCTCTGGATCCAACCCTCTGGAATCTCTGGAGCTCCAGGATCTGGATCAGGATCCAATTCCCTTTGGCTCAGGATCCCTCCCTCTGGAATCCCTGGAGCTCCAGGATCTGACTCTGGGATCCCTCCCCGCTCCAGGCTCCGGGAATCCTCCCCTCCCCACCCTCTGGCATCAACCCCCAGCAAAAAGCCACCTCATATCCGGGAATCTGCGCTTCCCCTTGGGAATTCCCGGCTGGAATTCCTGGATTTTCCCTGACCTTTGGAGCCGAGCTCGTCCTCGTCGTCGCTGAACGCGGCCTCGGCGCTGTCGTAGCTGCCGTCGTCCTTCTCGCCCAGGGGGCTTTCCAGCTCCAGAGGCACCGGATCCTCCAGCTTCACTGAGGGATTGGGAATGGGGAGAGGGGTTGGGAATGCTGAGAGAGGCACAGAATTCCTGGAGGGCTTCACTGAGGGATTGGGAATGGGGGAAGAGGGGTTGGGAATGGGGGGAGAGGGGTTGGGAATGCCGGGAGAGGGGTTGGGAATGCCAGGAGAGGCACAGAATTCCTGCAGGGGCTTCACTGAGGAGTTGGGAATGCCAGGAGAGGCACAGAATTCCTGGAGGGGCTTCACTGAGGGGTTGGGAATGTCGGGAGAGGGGTTGGGAATGAGGGGAGAGGGGTTGGGAATGGGGGGAGAGGCACAGAATTCCTGCAGGGGCTTCACTGAGGGATTGGGAATGGGGACAGGGGTTTGGAATGGGGGGAGAGGGGTTGGGAATGGGGAGAGGGGTTGGGAATGCTGGGAGAGAATTCCTGGAGGGCTTCATTGTGGGATTGGGAATGGGGGGAGAAGAGTTGGGAATTGGGAAAAGAGGGGTTGGGAATGGGGGGAGGGGTTGGGAATGCCGGGACAGGGGTTGGGAGCAGGGAGGGAATTCTTGCAGGGGCTTCACTGAGGGATTGGGAATGCCGGGAGAGGGGTTGGGAATGGGGGGAGAGGGGTTGGGAGCAGGCACAGAATTCCTGAAGGGGCTTCACTGCGGGATTGGGAATGGGGGGAGAGGCACAGAATTCCTGCAGGGAATCCCCACTGAGGGATTGGGAATGGGGGAGAGGGGTTGGGAGCAGGGAGAGGGGTTGGGAATGGGGGAGAGGGGTTGGGAATGGGGGAGAGGGGTTGGGAATGGGGAGAGGGGTTGGGAATGGGGAGAGGGGTTGGGAATGGGGAGAAGGGTTGGGAATGCCGGGAGAGGGGTTGGGAATGGGGAGGGGTTGGGAATGGAGGGAGAGGGGTTGGGAATGCCGGGAGAGGGGTTGGGAATGCCGGGAGAGGCACAGAATTCCTGCAGGGAATCCCCACTGAGGGATTGGGAATGCTGGGAGAGGGGTTGGGAATGCTGAGAGAGGCACAGAATTCCTGGAGGGCTTCACTGAGGGGTTGGGAATGCCGGGAGAGGGGTTGGGAATGAGGGGAGAGGGGTTGGGAATGCAGGGACAGGGGTTGGGAATGCCGGGAGAGGGTTGGGAATGAGGGGAGAGGGGTTGGGAATGCAGGGACAGGGGTTGGGAATGCCGGGAGAGGGGTTGGGAATGAGGGGAGAGGGGTTGGGAATGCAGGGACAGGGGTTGGGAATGCCGGGAGAGGATTCCTGGAGGGGCTTCACTGTGGGATTGGGAATGGGGGAGAGGGGTTGGGAATGAGGGGAGAGGGGTTGGGAATGGGGGGAGAGGGGTTGGGAGCAGGCACAGAATTCCTACAGGGGCTTCACTGTGGGATTGGGAATGCTGGGAGAGGGGTTGGAAATGGAGGGAGAGGGGTTGGGAATGAGGGGAGAGGGGTTGGGAATGAGGGGAGAGGGGTTGGGAATGGGGGAAGAGGGTTGGGAATGGGGGAAGAGGGGTTGGGAATGGGGGGAGAGGCACAGAATTCCCACAGGGAATCCCCACTGAGGGGTTGGGAATGGGGGAGAGGGCTGGGAATGCCGGGAGAGGGGTTGGGAATGGGGGAGAGGGGTTGGGAATGGGGGAGAGGCACAGAATTCCTGCAGGGAATCCCCACTGAGGGATTGGGAATGGGGAGAGGGGTTGGGAATGGGGGAGAGGGGTTGGGAATGGGGGAGAGGGGTTGGGAATGGGGGGAGAGGGGTTGGGAATGAGGGGAGAGGGGTTGGGAGCAGGGAGAGGGGTTGGGAATGCTGGGAGAGGGGTTGGGAATGACGGGAGAGGGGTTGGGAATGACGGGAGAGGGGTTGGGAATGCCGGGAGAGGGGTTGGGAATGAGGGGAGAGGGGTTGGGAATGCTGGGAGAGGGGTTGGGAACAGGCACAGAATTCCTGGAGGGCTTCACTGGGGGATTGGGAATGGGGGGAGAGGGGTTGGGAATGCTGGGAGAGGCACAGAATTCCTGCAGGGCTTCACTGAGGGATTGGGAATGGGGACAGGGGTTGGGAATGCTGGGAGAGGCACAGAATTCCTGCAGGGAATCGCCACTGAGGGGTTGGGAATGAGGGGAGAGGGGTTGGGAATGACGGGAGAGGGGTTGGGAGCAGGCACAGAATTCCTGCAGGGGCTTCACTGAGGGGTTGGGAATGGGGAGAGGGGTTGGGAATGGGGGGAGAGGGGTTGGGAATGGGGGGAGAGGGGTTGGGAATGACGGGAGAGGGTTGGGAATGGGGAGAGGGGTTGGGAGCAGGGAGGGAATTCTTGCAGGGGCTTCACTGAGGGATTGGGAATGCCGGGAGAGGGGTTGGGAATGGGGGGAGAGGGGTTGGGAGCAGGCACAGAATTCCTGAAGGGGCTTCACTGCAGGATTGGGAATGGGGAGAGGCACAGAATTCCTGCAGGGAATCCCCACTGAGGGATTGGGAATGGGGGGAGAGGGGTTGGGAATGAGGGGATGGGGGTTGGGAATGCCGGGAGAGGCACAGAATTCCTGCAGGGAATCCCCACTGAGGGGTTGGGAATGGGGGAGAGGGGTTGGGAATGGGGAGAGGGTGGGAATGGGGAGAGGGGCTGGGAATGGGGGAGAGGGGTTGGGAATGGGGGAGAGGGGTTGGGAATGGGGAGAGGGGGTGGGAATGGGGGAGAGGGGTTGGGAATGCCGGAGAGGATTCCTGGAGGGCTTCACTGAGGGATTGGGAATGGGGAGAGGGGTTGGGAACAGGCACAGAATTCCTGGAGGGGCTTCACTGAGGGATTGGGAATGGGGACAGGGGTTGGGAATGTCGGGAGAGGGGTTGGGAGCAGGCACAGAATTCCTGCAGGGCTTCACTGAGGGACTGGGAATGGGGACAGGGGTTGGGAATGGGGAGAGGATTCCTGGAGAGGCTTCACTGAGGGATTGGGAATGGGGGGAGAGGGGTTGGGAATGCCGGGAGAGGGTTGGGAATGGGGAGAGGGTTGGGAGCAGGCACAGGAATTCCTACAGGGGCTTCACTGTGGGATTGGGAATGCTGGGAGAGGGGTTGGAAATGGAGGGAGAGGGGTTGGGAATGAGGGGAGAGGGGTTGGGAATGCAGGGAGAGGGGTTGGGAATGGGGGGAGAGGGGTTGGGAATGGGGGAAGAGGGGTTGGGAATGGGGGAGAGGCTACAGAATTCCTACAGGAATCCCCACTGAGGGGTTGGGAATGGGGAGAGGGGTTGGGAATGCCGGAGAGGGGTTGGGAATGGGGGAGAGGGGTTGGGAATGGGGGAGAGGGGTTGGGAATGGGGGAGAGGGGTTGGGAATGCCAGGAGAGGGGTTGGGAATGGGGAGAGGGGTTGGGAATGGGGGAGAGGGGTTGGGAATGGGGACAGGGGTTGGGAATGACGGGAGAGGGGTTGGGAATGCCGGGAGAGGGGTTGGGAATGGGGAGAGGGGTTGGGAATGCCGGGAGAGGGGTTGGGAATGCCAGGAGAGGGGTTGGGAATGGGGGGAGAGGGGTTGGGAATCCTGGGAATGCTCAGGGAATTTCAGGGATGGGATCCTGGGAATGCTCAGGGAATGCTCAGGGAATTCCAGGGATGGGAGGGAAGCAGTTTGGAAAGAGGGGAGGGTGCTCCTGGGAATGCTCAGGGATTTGGGAAGAAGGGAGAGGATCCTGGGAATGCTCAGGGATTTCCAGGGATGGGAGTTTTGGGAAGAGGGGATGGGATCCTGGGAATGCTCAGGGATTTCGGAAGAAGGGAGAGGATCCTGGGAATGCTCAGGAAATTCCAGGGATTGGAGGGAAGCAGTTTGGGAAGAGGGGAGGGGATCCTGGGAATGCTCAGGGAATTCCAGGGATTGAAGGGAATCTTGGGAATGCTCAGGGAGTTGGGAAGAGGGGAGGGGGATCTTGGGAATGCTCAGGGAGTTCCAGGGATGGGAGAGGATCCTGGGAATGCTCAGGGAGTTCCAAGGAGGGGATCTTGGGAATGCTCAGGGAATTCCAGGGAAGGGAGGGGATCCTGGGAATGCTCAGGGAATTCCAGGGATGGGATCCTGGGAATGCTCAGGGATGTGGGAAGAAGGGAGAGGATCCTGGGAATGCTCAGGGAATTCCAGGGATGGGAGCTTTGGGAAGAGGGGATGGGATCTTGGGAATGCTCAGGGAGTTCCAGGGATGGGATCCTGGGAATGCTCAGGGAATGCTCAGGGAATTCCAGGAATGGGATGGGAACTTTGGGAAGAGGGGATGGGATCCTGGGAATGCTCGGGAGTTCCACGGGAATCTCAGCCAAGCAATTGCAACCCCCCCACCCCCCCCCTCTTCCCAAATCCCAAATTTCCCTCTCCCTGGAGTCTCCCCAACCCTCAGTGCCGAAGGAATTCAAGGAATCCCCCCCAATCCCAGGCTGTCCCTTCCCTACCTTCCATGGGGGGCGAGGGGGAGCTGCAGAATTCCGGGAATTTCTCCCTCAGCATCGCCCGGAGCTCCTTGTCCAGCTTGGGGTTGTCAAACAGGGGGGCCAAATGCCTGGAATGGGATTGGGATGGGATTGGGATGGGATTGGGATGGGATTGGGATGGGTTTGGGATGGATTTGGGATGGATTTGGGATGGATTTGGGATGGGATTGGGATGGGTTTGGGATGGGATTGGGATGGGTTTGGGATGGATTTGGGATGGATTTGGGATGGGTTTGGGATGGATTTGGGATGGATTTGGGGTGGATTTGGGATGAGCAGGGAAAAGGGATGCAGGGATTTCAATCCCGTTGGGAATAGGGATGAAAGAGCCAGAATTCCACGAATTTGGCTCATCCCAGTGGGATATTCCCACTCTTTTGAGGCTGGAAATTCCCTCCCCATCATCCCTTCCCTTCCAGGGCGACCCCCCAAACACTTCCCAAGGGGTGGCTTTTCCCAAGGATTTGGGATGACATCACCACTTCCAACCCTTCCCCCCCTCCCTCAGAGCTCCAGGAGGCTCCCAATCCAAGGAAAATCCCAAAAAAAAGCAGGAAAATCAGGATCTCTCACGCCAGGACTCGCTTCTCCACGATGTGGGTGAGGGAGTTGAACACTCCCTGCCGGACGTGAACTTCCAGAGGGGGGTAAAAGTTGGGAATGATCTGGGAAGAGGGAGGGAAAATTCCCGTCAAAAAGCAGGGAATTCTCCGGGATTGGAGATTGGGGGGAGGGGGGGGATCCTAAAAAAACTGGGGTGATTCTGGGGAATTCCTGGGGCTGATCCCTGGGGTTGATCCCTGGGGATTCCTGGGGCTGATCCCTGGGGCTGATCCCTGGGAATTCTGGAGTTGATCCCTGGGAATTCCTGGGGTTGATCCCTGGGAATTCTGGGGCTGATCCCTGGGAATTCTTGGGGCTGATCCCGGGGAATTCCTGGGGCTGATCCTGGGGGATCCCTGGGGATTCCTGGGGCTGATCCCTGGGGCTGATCCCTGGGAATTCCTGGAGTTGATCCCTGGGAATTCCTGGGGCTGATCCCTGGGGATTCCTGGGGCTGATCCCTGGGAATTCCTGGGGCTGATCCCTGGGAATTCCTGGGGCTGATCCCTGGGGTTGATCCCTGGGAATTCCTGGGGCTGATCCCTGGGGCTGATCCCTGGGAATTCCTGGGGCTGATCCCTGGGAATTCCTGGGGCTGATCCCTGGGAATTCCTGAGTTTGATCCCTGGGAATTCCTGGGGCTGATTCTGGGGAATTCCTGGGGTTGATCCCTGGGAATCCCTGGGGTTGATCCTGGGGAATTCCTGAGTTTGATCCCTGGGAATTCCTGGGGCTGATCCTGGGGAATTCCTGGGGCTGATCCTGGGGATTCCCAGAGCTGATCCCTGGGGATTCCCAGAGCTGATCCCTGGGGATTCCCAGAGCTGATCCCTGGGACTGATCCCTGGGGATCCCTGGGGCTGATCCCTGAGAATTCCCGGGGCTGATCCCTGGGGATTCCCAGGGCTGATCCCTGGGGTTGATCCCTGGGAATTCCTGGGGCTGATTCTGGGGATTCCTGGGGCTGATCCCTAGGGCTGATCCCTGTGGATTCCCAGGGCTGATCCCTGGGGAATTCCTGAGGTTGATCCCTGGGGTTGATCCCTGGGAATCCCTGGGGCTGATCCCGGTGGAATTCCTGGGGCTGATCCCTGTGGATCCCTGGGACTGATCCCTGGGGATTCCTGGGGCTGATTCTGGGGAATTCCCGGGGCTGATCCCTGGGGTTAATCCCTGGGAATTCCTGGGGCTGATCCTGGGGAATTCCTGGGGCTGATCCCTGGGGATTCCTGGGGCTGATCCTGGGGCTGATCCCTGGGGCTGATCCCTGGGGCTGATCCCTGGGAATTCCTGGGGCTGATCCCTGGGGCTGATCCCTGGGACTGATCCCTGGGGCTGATCCCTGGGGCTGATCCCTGGGAATTCCTGGGGCTGATCCCTGGGGCTGATCCCTGGGACTGATCCCTGTGGATTCCCGGGGCTGATCCCTGGGGATTCCCGAGGCTGATCCCTGGGAATTCCTGGGGCTGATCCCTGGGGCTGATCCCTGGGAATTCCTGGGGCTGATCCCTGGGGCTGATCCCTGTGGATCCCTGGGGCTGATCCCTGGGGATTCCCGGGGCTGAACCCTGGGGTTAATCCCTGGGAATTCCTGGGGCTGATCCCTGGGGTTGATCCGTGTGGATTCCCGAGGCTGATCCCGGTGAATTCCCGGCTCACCCGGCACATGAAGTCCAGGAGGGTGGCAGTGATGGCAGGGTGGGGTTTCATGGAGTGGTGCATCACCAGGATGGCCGGCTCTGGAATGGGGGAGGGAAAACAGGGATGAGACCCCCCCAGGGAGAAGGAATTCCATGGGAACCTGGAAGGGAACGGGATGGGGAACCCCGAGGGATCTCCCCATGGAAAACCCACCCAGAGCCCATCCATGGAAAACCCAATCCCAATGGAGCCCATCCATGGAAAACCCAAACCCATCCATGGAAAACCCAAACCCACCCAGAGCCCATCCATGGAAAACCCAAACCCCATGGATGCAATCCAATCCCCATGGAGCCCATCCATGGAAAACCCACCCAGAGCCCATCCATGGAAAACCCAATCCCAATGGAGCCCATCCATGGAAAACCCAAACCCCATGGAGCCCATCCATGGAAAACCCAAACCCACCCAGAGCCCATCCATGGAAAATCCAAACCCCATGGAGCCCATCCATGGAAAACCCAATCCCAATGGAGCCCATCCATGGAAAACCCAAACCCCATGGATGCAATCCAATCCCAATGGAGCCCATCCATGGAAAACCCAAACCCCATGGAGCCCATCCATGGAAAACCCAAACCCACCCAGAGCCCATCCATGGAAAACCCAAACCCACCCAGAGCCCATCCATGGAAAACCCAATCCCAATGGAGCCCATCCATGGAAAACCCAAACCCCATGGATGCAATCCAATCCCAATGGAGCCCATCCATGGAAAACCCAAACCCACCCAGAGCCCATCCATGGAAAACCCACCCAGAGCCCATCCATGGAAAACCCAATCCCAATGGAGCCCATCCATGGAAAACCCAAACCCCATGGATGCAATCCAATCCCAATGGAGCCCATCCATGGAAAACCCACCCAGAGCCCATCCATGGAAAACCCACCCAGAGCCCATCCATGGAAAACCCAATCCCAATGGAGCCCATCCATGGAAAACCCAAACCCCCCATGGATGCAATCCAATCCCAATGGAGCCCATCCATGGAAAACCCAATCCCCATGGAGCCCATCCATGTAAACCCCACCCTCCTGGAGCCCATCCATGTAAATCCCACCCTCCTGGAGCCCATCCTTGTAAATCCCACCCTCCTGGAGCCCATCCATGTAAACCCCACCCTCCTGGAGTTCATCCTTATAAACCCCACCCTCCTGGAGCCCATCCATGTAAACCCCACCCTCCTGGAGCCCATCCATGTAAATCCCACCCTCCTGGAGCCCATCCTTATAAACCCCACCCTCCTGGAGCCCATCCTTATAAACCCCACCCCCCTGGAGCCCATCCATGTAAATCCCACCCTCCTGGAGCCCATCCATGTAAACCCCCACCCTCCTCTGGAGCCCATCCTTATAAACCCCACCCTCCTGGAGCCCATCCATGTAAACCCCACCCTCCCGGCCATCCATAAATCCCACCTCCTGAGCCCATCCTTATAAACCCACCTCTGGGAGCCCATCCATGTAAACTTCCACCTCCCGGAGCCCATCCCCATAAAACCCCACCCTCCCGAGCCCATCCCATAAACCCCACCCTCCCGGGAGCCCATCCATGTAAACCCCACCCTCCTGGAGCCCATCCATGTAAATCCCACCCTCCTGGAGCTCATCCTTATAAACCCCACCCTCCTGGAGTTCATCCTTATAAACCCCCCCCTCCTGGAGCCCATCCTTATAAACCCCACCCTCCTGGAGCCCATCCTTATAAACCCCCCTCCTGGAGCCCATCCTTATAAACCCCCTCCTGGAGCCCATCCTTATAAACCCCACCCTCCTGGAGTTCATCCTATAAACCCCCCTCCTGGAGCCCATCCTTATAAACCCCACCCTCCTGGAGCCCATCCATGTAAACCCCACCCTCCTGGAGCCCATCCATGTAAACCCCACCCTCCTGGAGCCCATCCATGTAAATCCCACCCTCCTGGAGCCCATCCATGTAAACCCCACCCTCCTGGAGCCCATCCTTATAAACCCCCCCCTCCTGGAGCCCATCCTTATAAACCCCACCCTCCTGGAGCCCATCCATGTAAACCCCACCCTCCTGGAGCCCATCCATGTAAACCCCAATCCCAATGGAGCCCATCCATGGAAAACCCAAACCCCATCCATGGAAAACCCAATCCCAATGGAGCCCATCCATGGAAAACCCAAACCCCATCCATGGAAAACCCAAACCCCCTGGAGCCCATCCATGGAAAACCCAAACCCCCCATGGATGCAATCCAATCCCAATGGAGCCCATCCATGGAAAACCCAAACCCCCCATGGATGCAATCCAATCCCAATGGAGCCCATCCATGGAAAACCCAATCCCAATGGAGCCCATCCATGGAAAACCCAAACCCCAAGGAGCCCATCCCAAAGAAGATCCCAATGGATGCAATCCAATCCCAATGGAGCCCATCCATGGAAAACCCCATGGAGCCCCCCCCTTAGGTCCAACCACATCCAACCTCCACGGAAAACCCCCAATGGAAGTGACCCAATCCCGGTGGATCCCATCCCAAAAAAAACCCATCCTTATAAACCCCACCCTCCTGGAGCCCATCCTTATAAACCCCATCCCCCTGGAGCCCATCCTTATAAACCCCACCCCCCTGGAGCCCATCCCATGGGGAAATCCCTGGAAAATCCCAGTGCTGACCGATGTTCATGATGCTGTCCTTGTCGGGGTTGAAGAAGAGCCAGTCGTAGAACAGCGCCAGCTTCGCGTTGGACGCCGCCACGTTGGACTGTGGGGACATTCCAGGTTATCCCATGGATAGGACAGACATTCCAGGGTTATCCCCATGGACAGACCCCCCCAGAACTGCCCGGACATCCCCAGGTTATCCCATGGATAGCATGGATATTCCTGGGTTATCCCAATGGACAGACCCCCCCAGAACTGCCCAGACATCCTGGGGTTATCCACATGGACATTCCAGGTTATCCCATGGACATTCCAGAGTTATCCACATGGACAGACCCCCCCAGACCCGCCCAGACATCCCCAGGTTATCCACATGGACATTCCAGAGTTATCCACATGGATAGCACGGATATTCCAGGGTTATCCCCATGGACATTCCCGAGTTATCCACATGGACATTCCAGGTTATCCCATGGATAGCATGGATATTCCCGGGTTATCTCAATGGACAGACCCCCCCAGAACCGCCCAGACATCCCCAGGTTATCCCCATGGACATTCCCAGGGTTATCCACATGGATAGCACGGATATTCCAGGGTTATCCACATGGACATCCCAGGGTTATCCCCATGGACATTCCAGGGTTATCCCCATGGACATTCCAGGGTTATCCCAATGGACATTCCGGGGTTATCCCCATGGACATTCCAGGGTTATCCACATGGACATTCCAGGGTTATCCCCATGGACATTCCTGGGTTATCCCAATGGACATTCCAGGGTTATCCCCATGGACAGCCCGGGGTTATCCCGACAGACAGACCCCCCAAACAACCACCTGGAACCCGGAATGGCCACCCCGAGAGACCCCCTGGGATCCATCCATGGAAAACTCCCACAGAGTCCATCCTGAGAGAGATCCCTGTGGGATCCATCCTTGAGAAACTCCCATGGGGCCCATCCCAAGAAAGATCCACATGGGATCCATCCATGGAAACTCCCACAGAGCCCATCCCAAGAGATCCCTGTGGGATCAATCCATGGGAAACTCCCACAGAGTCCATCCTGCGAGTGTGGGATCCATCCATGGGATATCCCCACAGAGCCCATCCCAAGAAAGATCCACATGGGATCCATCCATGGAAACTCCCACAGAGCCCATCCCAAGAGATCCCTGTGGGATCAATCCATGGGAAACTCCCACAGAGTCCATCCTGCGAGTGTGGGATCCATCCATGGAAAATCCCCACAGAGTCCATCCCAAGAGATCCCTGTGGGATCCATCCATGGGATATCCCCACAGAGCCCATCCCAAGGAAGATCCACATGGGATCCATCCATGGAAAATCCCCACAGAGTCCATCCCAAGAGATCCCTGTGGGATCCATCCATGGGAAACTCCACAGAGTCCATCCCTGAAGAGCCTGTGGGATCCATCCATGGAAAATCCCCACAGAGTCCATCCCAAGAGATCCCTGTGGGATCCATCCATGGGATATCCCCACAGAGCCCATCCCAAGGAAGATCCACATGGGATCCATCCATGCAAAACTCCAGTGGAGCCCATCCAGAATAAGACCCCCATGGAGCCCATCCATGGAAGATCCCCATGGATTCCATCCCAAGGAATCCCCCCTGGATCCCTGTCAGTACTCACAGTGCAGGTGGTGAGCAGAGCAATCTCCCCATGGATTCCATCCATAAAATCCCACCCCATCCCACAGAATTCCCCCTGGGAATGACTCACAGTGCAGGTGGTGAGCAGAGCAATCCCCCCATGGATTCCATCCCCCCTGGATCCCCCTGGACCCCCTGGATCCCTCTGGAATGACTCACAGTGCAGGTGGTGAGCAGAGCAATCCCCCCATGGATTCCATCCCATGGAATTACCCCCAATCCCACAGAATTCCCCCCTGGATCCCTGTCAGTACTCACGGTGCAGGTGGTGAGCAGAGCGATCCCCCATGGATTCCATCCGATGGAATCATCCCCTGGAATTCCCTGAGTACTCACAGTGCAGGTGGTGAGCAGAGCAATCCCCCATGGATTCCATCCCATGGAATTCCCCCTGGATCCCTGTCAGTACTCACGGTGCAGGTGGTGAGCAGAGCGATCCCCCATGGACTCCATCCCATGGAATTCCATCCCCCCTGGAATTCCCCTGGAATACTCACGGTGCAGGTGGTGAGCAGAACAATCTCCCCATGGACTCCATCCCATGGAATCCCCCCTGGAATTCCTCCCTGTCAGTACTCACAGTGCAGGTGGTGAGCAGAGCAATCCCCATGGACTCCATCCCATGGAATCCCCCCATGGATCCCCCTGGAATCCCTGTCAGTACTCACAGTGCAGGTGGTGAGCAGAGCAATCCCCTCATGGATTCCATTACATGGAATCTCTCCCTGGATCCCCCAATCCCACAGAATTCCCCCCTGGACCCTGTCAGTACTCACAGTGCAGGTGGTGAGCAGAGCGATCCCCCCATGGATTCCATCCCATGGAATTCCCCCGGAATCCTCCCCCAGTCAGTACTCACAGTGCAGGTGGTGAGCAGAGCAATCCCCCATGGATTCCATCCCATGGAATCCCATCCCCATGCATCCCCATGATTCCCTGGATTCCCCCTGGATTCACTCACAGTGCAGGTGGTGAGCAGAGCGATCCATGGCTCCATCCCATGGAATTCCCTGGAATTCCTCCCCGTTGACACAGTGGTGCAGCAGCAGAGCCATCCCCATGGATCTCCATCACATGGAATTCCATCCCTGATCCCTGAATCCTCACATGGATTCCCTGGATCCCTGGTCAGGTTCACTCACAGTGCAGGTGGTGAGCAGCAGCCATGATCCCCATGGATTCCATCCACGGGATTCATGGATCCCTGATCCTACAGACATTCCCTGGGAATGACCCACAGTGCAGGTGGCAGCCAGCAATCCCCGATGGATTCCAACTCCATGGAATCCCATCCATCCCCCTGGATCCATCCCCATGGATTCCTGGATTCCCTGGATCCCTGGATTCACTCACAGTGCAGGTGGTGAGCAGCCAGCCGATGATGGCCCAGCGGGGCAGGATGTCTGAGCTCAGCACCTCGTTGGACGGTGCAGCACCCCCTGGATCCCATCCCCATGGATTCCCATGGATTCCCATGGATTTCCCTGGATTCCCTGGATCCCTGGATTCACTCACAGTGCAGGTGGTGAGCAGCCAGCCGATGATGGCCCAGCGGGGCAGGATGTCTGAGCTCAGCACCTCGTTGGACAGGTGCAGCACCCCTGGATCCATCCCCATGGATTCCATCCCCCTGGATCCATCCCCATGGATTCCCTGGATTCCCTGGATCCCTGGATTCACTCACAGTGCAGGTGGTGAGCAGCCAGCCGATGATGGCCCAGCGGGGCAGGATGTCTGAGCTCAGCACCTCGTTGGACGGGTGCAGCACCCCCTGGATCCATCCCCATGGATTCCATCCCCCTGGATCCATCCCCATGGATTCCCATGGATTCCCTGGATTCCCTGGATTCACTCACTAGTGCAGGTGGTGAGCAGCCAGCCGATGATGGCCCAGCGGGGCAGGATGTCTGAGCTCAGCACCTCGTTGAGCAGTGCAGCACCCCCTGGATCCATCCCCATGGATTCCATCCCCCTGGATCCATCCCCATGGATTCCCTGGATCCCTGGATTCACTCACAGTGCAGGTGGTGAGCAGCCAGCCGATGATGACCCGAGGGCAGGATGTCTGAGCTCAGCACCTCGTTGGACAGTGCAGCACCCCCTGGATCCATCCCCCTGGATTTCCCTGGATTCCCATGGATTCCCTGGATTCCCTGGATCCCTGGATTCACTCACAGTGCAGGTGGTGAGCAGCCAGCCGATGATGGCCCAGCGGGGCAGGATGTCTGAGCTCAGCACCTCGTTGGACGGGTGCAGCACCCCCTGGATCCATCCCCCTGGATCCATCCCCCTGGATCCATCCCCCTGGATTCCCTGGATTCCCTGGATCCCTGGATTCACTCACAGTGCAGGTGGTGAGCAGCCAGCCGATGATGGCCCAGCGGGGCAGGATGTCTGAGCTCAGCACCTCGTTGGACGGGTGCAGCACCCCCTGGATCCATCCCCATGGATTCCCATGGATTCCCATGGATTCCCTGGATTCCCTGGATCCCTGGATTCACTCACAGTGCAGGTGGTGAGCAGCCAGCCGATGATGGCCCAGCGGGGCAGGATGTCTGAGCTCAGCACCTCGTTGGACGGGTGCACCACCCCGCAGATGTAGCGGATGAGGTCACAGCGCAGGGATTGACTGTCGGGGGTCGACAGGTACTGCCTCTGGAACCAGTCCTGGTAGCGCTTCTGCTGCCCGAAACGCACCTGGAATGGGAATTCCAGACGTGGGAGAGGGAATTTCAGGGGTGGGAGAGGGAATTCCAGCGGTGGGAGAGGGAATTCCAGCAGTGGGAGAGAGAATTTCAGGGGTGGGAGCAGGAATTGCATGTGTGGGAGAGGGAATTTCATGGGTGGCAACAGGAATTCCAGGGGTGGGAGAGGGAATTCCAGGGGTGGGAGAGGGAATTGCAGGGGTGGGAGAGGGAATTCTATGGGTGGAGAGGGAATTCCAGCAGGTGGGAGTAGGAATTCCAGCAGGTGGGAGTGGAATTCAGTGGTGGGAGAGGGAATTCCAGCGGTGGGAGAGGGAATTTCAGGGGTGGGAGCAGGAATTCAACTGGTGGGAGTGGGAATTTCATGGGTGGGAGAGGAAATTCTATGGGTGGGAGAGGGAATTCCAGCAGTGGGAGAGGGAATTCCAGCAGTGGGAGTGGGAATTCTATGGGTGGGAGAGGGAATTCCAGCAGTGGGAGAGGGAATTCCAGGGGTGGGAGCAGGAATTCAACATGGGCTGGGGGGGAATTCTATGGGTGGGAGGAATTCCAGGAGTGGGAGAGGGAATTTCAGGGGTGGGAGAGGAATTCCAGGGTGGGAGAGGGAATGCCAGCAGTGGGAGAGGGAATTCCAGGGGTGGGAGAGGGAATTTCAGGGGTGGGAGAGGGAATTTCAGGGGTGGGAGAGGGAATTCCAGGGTGGGAGAGGGAATTCGCAGGGGTGGGAGAGGGAATTCCAGGGGTGGGAGAGGGAATTTCAGGGGTGGGAGAGGGAATTTCAGAGGTGGGAGAGGGAATTCCAGGGGTGGGAGTGGGAATTCCAGGGGATGGGGGGGAATCCAGGAGGGGAGAGAGGGGGGAGCTCCCCGGGGAGGACCTTGGTTTGGCTGGGAGGAAATTTGGGAGGGAATTTTGGTGGAATTTGCTTTTGGAGGGCTCTGGTTTGGCTGAGCTGGGAGGAAATTTGGGAAGGGGATTTTGGTGGAATTTGCCTTTGGAGGGCTCTGGTTTGGCTGAGCTGGGAGGGAATTTGGGAGGGAATTTGGTGGAATTGCCTTGGAGGGCCCTGGTTTGGTTTGAGCTGGAACTTGGGAAGGAATTTAGTGGAATTGCCCCTGGAGGGCTCTGGTTTGGCTGGGAGGGAATTTGGGAGGGAATTTCCCAGAGAGGACCCTGGTTTGGCTGAGCTGGAATTTGGGAAGGAGTTTTTGGGGAATTGCCCCTGGAGGGCTCTGGTTTGGCTGGGAGGGAATTTGGGAAGGGGTTTTTATGGAATTATCCCTGGAGAACCCCAGCTCAGCCATTCCAGGGGGAATCCAGGATGGAATCCTGCTGGAATTATCCCTGGAGAACCCCAGTTCAGCTGAGCTGGAATTTGGGAAGGGGGTTTTTGTGGAATTGCCCTTGGAGGACCCTGGTTTGGTTTGGCTGAGCTGGGAGGGAATTTGGGAAGGGGTTTTTATGGAATTATCCTTGGACAGCCCCAGTTCAGCTGAGCTGGAATTTGGGAAGGGATTTTGTGGAATTGCCCCTGGAGAACCCTGGTTTGGTTGGGAGGGAGTTTGGGAGGGAATTTCCCAGGGAGGACCCTGGTTTGGCTGAGCTGGAATCTGGGAAGGAGTTTTTGTGGAATTGCCCTTGGAGGACCCTGGTTTGGCTGAGCTGGGAGGGAATTTGGGAGGAAATTTTGGTGGAATTTGCCTTTGGAGGGCTCTGGTTTGGCTGAGCTGGAATTTGGGAGGGAATTTTTGTGGAATTACCCCTGGAGGGCTCTGGTTTGGTTTGGTTTTCACCCCCTGCTTTTCTTTATATGGAGGACAAACTGTGTATTACTTTTATGTAAGGCGTGGACAGACTTGGTATTCTGGTAATGTTCTAAAAATTCAATGTCCCCAGTGATTAGAGAAAGCTCCAGTCTTAGCAGCCTCACATGGCTCAAGAGGCTGCAGGAAGGAGGATGTGGGATAGGAGATGCCACTGTACAAATCATGTGAGAACAAAAGTACAAATGCTGTTTGCAAGTGAAGCTCAGTGGGTCTGTGTGTTGAGATGCCATCTGCAGCATGGCTCAAAGTTAGCTTGAGTCCAAGGTCCCAGGGTCAGATGACCCCAGAAATGGAGAAAATTTCTCCTTTCTCCCATCATCTGCAGAAAGCAAACATCACTTGGTCATCCCTGGTTGACAAAGAAGACTGCCTTTCAGCTAATGGCTTCCCAAAAGGAATTCAAGCAGGTGGAAGAGGGGGAGGTTACAAGGAGAAAAATGCCTGCCCTATCCCCCAACTTCTTTTCCTTGCAAAGGAAGCCCAGAAGGCTCCAAGTTTTGTCTGATTATTTGTGTCAAAAATGTGCAACAAATACAGTAGCAGAGAAGAAGCATGAGTCTGTACTATATTAACAGCTAAGCACACTACATTTCTCATTTTCCTTATTTTTTTATGAAGCATTTACCAAAATACCTACTGGAATGTCATGGGGAAGAAGTGGTCCGAGATTGTTTAATGACCAATAAAAAAGCTTCATGCAGGTACAATTAGTTCTTCCAAGCACCAGCGGATTAAGTTGGTTTCTTTATAGCGAGCTCTGAGTCAAAACATCTTGCAAATGAAACACGTTACAGGAGACGGTGGGAAATTGGACTAGGAAGTCTTGATGAAGACAGTGACCCATAGCTAGAAAAATTCCTGCAGGGGTGGTCTGACAAAAAAGATGTTCCAGAAAGGCAGTGCTAGTAGCAGACATCCCAGGGAGGAGCCGAGCAGCAGGGGAAGATGGTCTGGCACTTTTCTGCGCTCGAACAGGAGCACACCACGTTCTCAGGCGTGTCTGTGTGTCATCCTCCACCCTCATACACCCCCTCATACTCACTCACTCTGTCTGCACTTCTGGAAACTCAGGGTTCGCCCCAGAAATGTTCTTTGTATGTTGCTCACAGGAGTGCGCATGAACTGGTCAGTCTGGCTGCATATTGCTGGATTCAGGGGAAAAAAAGAAGGTGAGCTTTAGTAAGTCTTTCTTCTCAAAAAAAAAAGAGACAGAGCAGATGTTTCTGAGACCTCCAGCAGCTTCTAACAGAACAGAAGCCATTGCTGGGTGGCTAGTGGCAACACAGTGATGGGGGTGTGCCAGAGATGATTGTCAAGTTCTTTTGCTGATATTGCCTTGGTGCAGCTTGACACTCTTTCCTCTTGGCCTCATGTACAAGTATGCTCAGAAAAGCTGCCCAGGTGATCAGGGAGGTATGTCCAACCCTGCCTGTATTTCAGATGCACTCTTGAGTGACATGCCTTAAGCACCCATTCAATACTCTGCAGAAAATCAGGCACCTGACAGCTGCAATACCACCATGTGATGGGTTATTTTTCAAGTGCCCAAGGAGGTGATGGCATTGAGTACAGAGGGGGTGATGTATTTTAGACAATATATGTGGGGCCTCATTTGCCACTGGAGAGGAGTGGTAAAATATGTCTCTGTTGTGTAATTAATGGTTTTGAAAAACGCAAGCTCGTGCTGGGGCTAAGCCGAATACTCTGAGAGTTCTGAATCCCAGCTATGTATCTTCTCAGGCAAGCCTTTCCTCTTTTTTTTTTTTTTTTCCCTTTCTTTTGCATTGCTGCTGTGCTTCAGTGGGTCTTTGTTTGCAGTTCTCATTCTGCTCCTCAGCCAGAGGGGCTGTGGTGTAGCATCTCCTCCAGGCCAGGGCTTCCCACCTGGCTGGGACCCTGTCTCCACCTCCAGTTGCCATCACTTCTCTTCAGGCTGGGGCTTTTGGGCAGGATAAAGGTGCTGCCAGGCCTGGCAATTGAAGCTGTCAGGTCTGCGCTGAGCAGTGAAGACCCCAAAGAAAGATGTGGGCTAGTCCCATAGGCAGTCAGCTGTGGGCATGGGGATCAGGGGCATCATGGGGCTCATATAGAACCTTCTCGGCCACTACATCTGCACATCACCTTGGGCAAATCACCACTTACTTTCCCTCTGATTTTCTCCTCCTCCCCATCCATCAGCTCGCGTGACAGAAATAAATCTATCCCCCTGTTGCCTTCTTGCATTAGGAGGCTGAACTTCAAAACCTCCCACAGCTGGTGTGAGCTGTACAGGAGTTTGCAACGTCCCCTACTCCTTGCACCCTCGCTCTTGTTCCC